CTTATTTTCTGCAAAAAGCTACTGCTTTCAAAAGAACGGATAATACGACGACTACAATTGGACAGAAACCATAAAAAAGCATTTGAGAATAGTTGTAATTTATCAACGAAGAGTACAGAAAAGTCCTACCAGTTATAAAGCGTGAATTATGTTTTTAATAAGTGAAATGAAATTTCACTTTTAAAGTGTATTTTGTTGCCTCTATACACAATATTGCGTTATAAAAATGTGACCTTAAGGCCAGGTAAAATTAATCTTTAGATTCTCATCCTAATTTGCTAAAAAATTGGTGCGGGTGGGCGGATTTTATTTTTTATTTTTTACAATTATTAAATTATAAGGATCAACAAAACATGGATGCCTCATACACATTCTTTTTCATTATGTTAATACAAATATGATTAGATTTAATTCTTTTCATATTCTTTTAAATATTCAAAGAAAATTCTTGCTTTAAAAATTAAATATTTATTGTTAATTAACAAATTATCAATTACAACATTATACGGCACACTGAACAAAATGAGGTGGGAATACCAATAAACTGTGTGTGCGTGACTTAAAATTCTTATTTTGCAAAATCTATAAATAAATGTTCTAATAATTAATCTACTGAAAAATCTAGGCCTTCTCTAAAGTCTGTTGACAACATTGTTGTTTTTTTTTTTTCAAAGCAAAATCACACACAGCTGGAGATCGTTATATATAACTTGACTAGGTGTCATTTTCCTCGTCTATTTTTACTTAGTTACAATCTCTCTAAATACTTGCTCCTGTCAGTGATGGTATCTAGATGTGTTTATGCTATTTTTTCTTCTCTGTCTTCTCTATACTGACAAATTATCTTTTCCTTACATATTTAAACTACTTTTATTGCCGATTTTCTCCATTCTTCACATGGCTCCTTTGCTATAAATAGCGACACGCGACTTTTAATACAGACGGGAGATAACTCTTAAACTTTGACCCAAATTCTTGCTGAATAAAAATACATGAAAATACCTTTATTAACACCCAAAAATCAAAATAAAAAACATCGGGGCGGGACACTTTGAGAGGGGCGGGCGGGGATGAGAATCTAAAGATTAATTTTATATGGCCTAATTTGTGTGAAAAACCATGTAAGCTTAAAAAGTGCGTTGAGCTGTATATGAGTGAAAAATTTTCGAATGGGACGTTAAACAATATACAATCAATCAATCTTTGATAGTAGTCGGATTAAACCGTTCGAATTCGTTTCCCTTTTGCCATAGCTATTGGTTCTGAATGGAAAAACGAGTTCGTGCTGGTTATCATGCATTGCCTTTGTTTACATTTTATTGCAATTACGTGTATATACTGCCCTGACCTGTACGACTCTTGCCGTAGAAGAAGTACATATCTTTTTGTCGCTACTGATTGCAATGCAACATACGTCCGTCTGTATACACTGGCGAAAACTGATTACATTGAGATTGGAAGGTCCTTCAAAATAATGCAGGTTATGAGTTTATGTTGATGTTGGATGCATCATCATCTTTCAGATGCTTAAATAAGGACTTAATGAAAGTTAAAGTATCAGTCACATTATCCAGCCATGGGGTATACGATGAGAAACCGATGCCGGTCGGACACCTATAGTAATCGGACGGTGACTAAGGCCATTTGACGAATCCCTGAGGGTCATCGGTAGAAAATAAGTTGTACTTAAAAATCAGCGAAGTCTCCACCGATGCTCCACATCGCTCATTATCGGCAACCCATCATTAACACATCTTTCAAGGATTGGCCGATGTATGGCAGAGCATCATCAAGTGTCCGTTGAATCTGAGGTCATCTGGTGGTTGATTGGTGGGCAACAGACATCGGCCGATCATCGGTCGATATTCGATCAAACATTGGCCCATAGTTGACCGACGTACGAACGATGTTTACCAATGTATGCGCGATGTAATACCGTATACATCGGCCGATTACCCTGGAGCTTCGTTTTATGATTAGCAATGCATCGCTGAGCCTTTGTAAGTCCGGCCGGCAACCACGCCATTTTTATCAAAAAAAAGCATTGGTTGCCCATCGTATACCCCATCGCTGAATAATGTGACTGATACTTTGAGAGCTACATGTACTACGCCGATGTGGACCGATGTTGGGGCATCGCTCACACCACGAATTACATGTACCACCGATTACCGCCAGTCTACGGCCACCGTCCGGGAAATGTGACTTATGCCTTAATCACATTTCCCGGACGGTGGGCGTACACCGGTGGTAATCCGTGGTGTGAGCGATGGCCGGACTTACATAGGCCCAGAGAGGCATTGCTAATCATAAAACGATGTTCTAGGGTAATCAGTCGATGTATATTACATCGCTAATACAATGGTGAACATTTTTCGTACGTCGGTCGACTATGGGCCAATGGCCTGTTGCCCACCAACTCGCCAAATGGCCTCAGTCACCGTCCGATTACTATAGGTGTCCGGCCGGCAACCACGTCATTTTTATCAAAAACGCTCATCTTATACCCCATCGCTGGATAATGTGGCTGATACTTAAGGTATATTACCCGATGTCATATGAAATAGCGTATTTTATGGAATATTGTAGCAAATTGTCGTAAGGACAGTTTAACTTTCTGGCCAATGAATAGGATGAGCCCTGACTACTGTGAAATGTACATTACTTTATTGTAGCTGTTTTTTCTGCGTGGTATAATCATTTATTACAATACAGGGCATCGACTTCTGAGCATCATCATTTCTCATTCATCTTATTCAAGTCAAACCGTAACCTTTTTCTACAAAAATATTTCACCTTAATTACTCATAAAAATTCTCATTAATACAGTAAAGATTACCAATTTGCTTAACTCATCTTCAAGGAAAAAACATTTGACGATTGATGTAAGGTTTACTGCAGACATATAATTATACCTGTCAGCAAATCGATTACTTGTATAATACTTCCCCGAAAAAGAAAGGTTTTTTTAGATGTCGGAACAGGAAGATAAGTATAATGTTCTTACCGAAACAAAAAAAATCGTACAAATGTTTCTTTTTCTGCTTAATTTATTGATCATTTATAAATATCAGTATATCATAAGTCAAACAAATGGATTTCAATAAATAGAATTATGTCATGTTACACAATCATACATTAAATCACAAGCATTTTCAAATCACAAGTAGGTAAAATAAAGGTAAATAAATTGGCAGTCAACGTCCTTCCAAACCTGGAATGCTTACTCTGGTTTACATATATACGTTAAGAGTATACTACATGTATTGTGTCTCTTAAACATGTTTCATATTGTTATATGCTTATGTAGATAAGTATCATTTGGTACATGAATAAATATGTAAGAATACTGTTTAAGGCACTTATTTAGAAAAAAAATAATTAGGTATATTCTCCAGCGCTCAAGCTGCATATCATGAGCGGTACTATCAAATTGATTTTGGTCTTTATAACAGTAACTAAAGACCATTAAGATATACTTACATGGATTGGTTAAGCCCAAAAAATAGAAAAAAGAAATCATTGTTCAGTTTCTTAGGCCAGAAATTATTACAAGAAAAAGGGGCAGGTTTTCTTTATAAACTGATTTTCTTTCGTTGAAGCAAGAGTTATCTTTTTTTGTTTTTCAAAAAAAGATTTTTTTTTTTACAGAATATTTACTTTTTTACATTCATATTACTTGATATTCAATTTATTTTTATAATGTCATACAAAACTTCCTTATAAGCTTATTGATGAAATGTAATAAGAAAACTCTTTAGTTTTTAGATACCATAAAATTTGTTCATATCAATTCCCTCAAAATACGTGAGAACACATTTAAGGGTGAAATCTGTAAATTTCAGACAACTTCCGGTCTTATATACTTCCGATTTTATTCTCTGAGTGTGAAGGAATCATCCCTGATAATTTCGATGAGTTAAAAAATAACTTCTGGTGGACATTATTTCAACAAAAAGAAAAAAATAAAATTTTACATATTTTTAAACTACTTCCGGTGGACAACGGACGTGACATTTATACAAAATTCAATAGAGCCTGTCATATCATCCCTGAAAGTTTCAAACCGTTTTTGAGAACATTTGACACTTTAAAAAAAGAAAATTGGCCATATCTCGCGACAAGTGACGACGGCAAAATAAAAAAAAACGCCTTAAGTTCATATGATTTGCCATCATTGCTGAAAGTTTCGTGAAAATCTTGTTGAAAATCGCCTGCACAAAATCGGTAAGAAAAAAAAAAAAATAATAATAGTGGAAAAGAAACAACAGATTCAGTAGAAGGTCTTCCGTTGGAAACGGAAGACCTTAAAAATATTGCGTAAATCTAAATACAAAATTGGGTCTTTTCGTTTGGATGCAAACGAAAATAATTCAAATTTCTTTTTCCGCCTTCAAAAATTCAAAATTGAGTTATTCCTCTTTCAATTATTTGATCAATGCTGCAGTATTTGGCCTAAATCGGCAGTGCCTAAGAAACTACATTTATATATTGATTGGGGGGGGGGGGGGGGCTAAAAGTAAAACAAACAAAAGCAACTTAAAGACAAGTCAAGTCACATTTACATCACTCATAACAGTCAATATAAAACTGCATACATACATGTATACATCCAATTTAAAATATCACAAAATATTCTGTAAATTATTTGCTAAAAATTAAAAGTAACATATATTCAATAGTATGTTTAATATCTGTAAAACTTGTTCTTACATACTTCGTAAATATACACTGTAATATGGTGACTAAGCAACAATAGGTTTTACTGAATAATCTCAGCAAACACAAATAGAAAAAAACATACCTTAGTTTGTTTTGTTTTTTTTAAGTCATTTTTTTTCTGAAGAAAATTCAATCTAACACATTATGCTGTGATATTGAGAAAAATCTTCGCAATTTTAATCAATGTACTGTTCTTCATTTGTTTACCAATTATTCAAAGCGCGTTTTTTTATTTCACATCACTAAAATTTTGGCCCATAAATAATTTGAAGTTAAGGTTGAGAATAAGGTTTGGGTTTACTCCCTATAGTTATACAAAAGCAGACCTTTTTATTATCCCTCATTCACAAGTGTTGGGATGAAATATTGCACAACTTATTTGTTCTAACCATTTTTTTAAATAAATCAAATTAACATTCATTTTTAAGATTTACATTAAAGAAAAAATATTGAAGTAATATCACTAAAGTTGATGGAAAGAATACTAAAACAATGAATTTGAGAAAAAAACACTGATCAGATATAGATTGATTTCTAAATGGTGTGTTACTTATTGTTACTTATTAGTTATTACTGTTTTCTCTTACATCCTTGTTAAATAAGGCAATACTGGCATCATACATGAACACAAATATAAGGTTAAAAGTAAGGCTTCCAGAAAGTAAAATTTCTCAAGACAGTTACGTGGACAAAAACATTGATTAATAACATCCCTGTATCAATCATCTATCTGACTCAATGCCTGGAACCGGGGAATATCTGAAAATGCCTCGCTTCCTGTAACAGAGAGAGAGTAATGGATTACTCAGGATATGGAGAGACAGGTGTTTGTAGAACAAATTCCTCAACAACAGGACTTTCACTCATGACTCAAGCACAAACACCACTAGAGTTTGTCACAATGTGAAGTATGATTATGTTATCATGGATTGTGTCATCAAGATTTGATACTCTATCACCCACATTTATCAATGTATGATGATATTTCTTTCATACTATTTTCCTTGAAGAAGTGGATGTATGCAAAAGCCTGTCCACTTCTCTAAAGAGAATACTTTTATACAAGCTAAATGCAGATCTTGGGAGAATGATGCCAAATTCAAGCAGAACATGACGGTTGAAAAATTATGATATCATTGATTAGCTCCCATCATATAATTATATATCTCTCAGTCAACGAAATGTTGCCTCTTTAGTATCTGAACTACATGAATAGAGATGCAACTATGAAATTCCCAAAGTAGGTGACTGTGATGACCTACTTTTTGGTTGACACAATCCAACGAGCCAATGCAATATGCATCAAATGACAAATTTTGATGATTTAAATAAGCCTCTTAGCATCTTCAAAATTTAGATAAAGTGTGAAATTCCAGAAGTAAGTGTTGTCATATACTTTTTTTGCTTGAAACACTATCATAATTAACTCAAGATGCATTAACTGACCAAGTTTGCTTATTCTAAGCCATTTATTATCTGATTTATTCAAATAAAGTCATGAAATTTCAAAGGAGGTCACTGTGACCTTAATTTCTGCTGTTATATTAAGAGGCCTAAGATTGCATCAACTGACAAGTTTTGATTAAAATGTCTTCACAGTGTCCAAAATATGCATCTAAAACAATTTCACAATGAAAACTTTAAAAATTCAGAAAGTATATGTTCGGGTTAGTCACATGATTTGCTGTTTCATAAATATGTTCCAAAAGTACCATGATGCATGAATTTACATGGTCTGATGATTACAAACCTTTAACATGCAAAATAATGACTTTAAATGTATTGAAAATGATTAATTCTATAACTCTTAAAGCATGTCAATGGGACCTACTTTATGGGTGATTTTATTTTGGAGTTTTGACAATGTTTCTTCCTGGAATATCACATTCTACATACATGTACATATATAAAATACCTAGATGTCAAAGTTATATGGATTGTTGAGACACAGGTGCTCTGAATGCTGATGTGATCTCTGGTTAGAATGCTACTGCAGTAAATAGTCTGACGTTTGAGGACCCATTTAAATTTAGACAGAATGTTGTGTGACATAATTTTCAAAACAATTTGTTTTGAATTCTACAACACTTATAACTTATCTGCTACAAAAGAAATTTTAAGAATTTATGGAAAAATTTAACTTACTTAAAACAGTCTTTGGAACTGAAAATATTGATTTTCCCATAATAACTTCTGTTTCATAAACCCAGCTGGGTGGCTTCCATGCTGAGAACTGAAAAGAGATATTATAATAAAATATAGACCTGTTACCTACAGGAAATAATCCTATAAAGCAATAATCAAACTGATATTATTCATTTTATCTTTCTTCCATTTAACAAAGTCATAAAATTTCTTAAATAAAAATCTGACAGCTGTTTGTTACCAGAATTTTCAAAATCATATTTAGATCAGCACATATATGTTTCCAATCTCCAAAGATCACAGCATGTGAATAACTATCGGATCTTATTTCATTAAACACACTTTAATGCTTTCTTTTATTGAGACTATTGTTCCTTAATTTTTTTGTATAAACACATATATAATGTGCATATTGCTATAGAATTGATTAATCAGAACTTAAATTGTTACAACTTTCTTTGGGTGGTGAGCTGTCTAGACATTTTGTACCAGTAAACCTCCTTGTGAACTAAATAGCCTTGGAAGAGTAAAATTGAATAAAAGGTGATATCTGGCATAATTGTATAATTATATGCACTACAAAGAGCATTGCTGAGTAATTAAGGAATGCTACCAGTTCCTTACAGATAAAAGATATCTATGTATGATTTCAGTGCACAGTTTCTGGATTCCAAGCTTTTCCAATAAAGTGAATAAAAGACTTAAGCTTTCTTTATCATCATTAAATCAGTCTGTTACACAATAAACAGTGTAATGATTTTTTTTTTTACATGTATTTGAAGTTTTATGTTTTTAAGATTTATTTTTTGCAACACCTCATTTCCAAGATAAATATTAAGGTGGTATTTATAAGCAAGCAAAAAGGTTCAAGAATGGTAACTGTCTAATTGTTGAACATAATCTCAATGTAATAACATACATATACATGCATATGTAAAAATCTCACATGTAATAACATACATATACAATAGCATTTTTATGTGAGAAAATTAAAGTAAAGTTCAGCAGTAAAAACCTTTGATTTATGCTATTTTTTTGACTACTCCAGTAATTTTTGGTTTCCTCTGCTTTAAGTATGGTATTTGATCATTAACCATAAATTTATCTCCTTTTCCTCATCTTTTATTTACCTTTCAACAGTTCCAAAAGGCTGTCTTTGGTAAGGGATGTCAAAATGGGATTTTTTAAAACTGAAATTCCAAAATCATAAAGGATTCTTTGGGACCATTGAAAGGTAAATAAAGTACATGGGCTTTAAAGTAAAGTTATAATTTTAAAATATTCTATTCTTGAGCAAAAATATAGACACCAAAAGTCTGGACATGTTTGTTGAAACACCCTGTATTAATAATAGAAGTAATATATAAGAGTAATTATCTGATATCATTCTAATTTAAAAAGCGATGGAGAGCATAAAATACACTACATATACATGAAGTGAGCGACAAAATATCAGCTGCATAAATTGAAGGTTTTTACAACGCTTGGATCTGTAGGCTAGCTCTCTGTTTAGTAGTTTTATAATGTGTTTTGTTTTCATATTAAAACATGAAATTAAAATTCTCTCTACCATATATGTACTCCTTTTTAAATAGCTGTTAAGAGTTAACTCTTAATTAATTTAATTCATATATAATCCCTACCTCTACATTCTTTGGGTGCATCAGACAATATATAGGTACAGTAAGATTTCCTTCCTGGTGGTTCTGGAGTGTAACTTTGACATCAATGTAGTAGTAACACTACAAATAATGCATTGTTATGCTTTTAGTAAAGTATGTAGGATCTTGTGCAAAGATACTGAAAAGAAAGTTAAATACAGTATATGTTGGTCAGGACCCTCAAGTCATGCACAATACACTGCAGGTTACAGATAATCAGGAACTTTTCATTTAATTCAGGGATATTGATACTAGATTTAACATCCCATATATTGCAATATTTTACGTTGAATATTGCAATATATTGCAATATATTGATTAATTATAATTAATAAATGTGTGCCTTTAAAATTCTTTAAAGACTTTTGAATTTATCTATGAATTTCAAAGGGGGCGGGGGGAATAAGACATTAATTGAACACATAATTATAATAACACTTTACTTTTAATCAAATACAGGTAAGATAATAAAATAAAATGAGGTTTTTCCTTAAAAAAAAAATGTTTATACTATACCAGGTACATGCAATCTTTTTCACATTGAAATAGCATGAAATGTAACTTAATGATTAAAACAATACATACTAAATGGAAATTTTATGTGGTCAGAATAAAATTAAAGCAAAAGAAATTACATCTTGGTGAGTGTACCCGAGCATGAAAATTGGATTTCTAGTTTTAATAAACATGTTATATAACGGGTGTAAAAAATGGGTAATTCAATGTCCACTGTATCAGTGAAAACATGGGACATGGCCATTTACTTGTAATATGTTTCTTGAACTAATCACATTCATCATCGTGATTTATAAAGATTTTGATGCCACAGTAAACATGGTATACACCCTTACAAATGTTTTATATATTTTCTGTCTTTTTATTAATTATTAATTTATTTTAAAGTAAGTGTGAATGACAACTTCCTCTCTCTCTCTCTCTCTCTATCTCTCTCTTTTCTCTCTAAAAGCTTTTTTTTTTCATATTAAAAGGCCTGGGGAAGTTACAAGTATTTTTCAGCAGTTTCTACAATAAAGGAGGTTTTTATATATTTTTATAAATATCGTGAAATACCGGTATCTGGCTTTCATATCGCGATATATTGTCGTGGCGGGTAATACCGCAATATACCGATATACCGGTAATATTGCACAGCCCTAAATACAACATCCAAGGTGATATCATAAGTGTGCATAAAACTTTAATGAATACAAGGTGACTGCAGTAAAATTTGAATATACAGACAGGTAATTCAATGGCTATTCACTTGGCTTCTTGTAATCTAAAATCACAGATTTATAAAATAAATGCACCTTACTTACATGTTGTATAAATACATACAGTGTATGTAAAATCTTTTCGTTTATAAAAGCTTTTTCTTATATGTAAGCTGTATAATGTAAGAATAATTATGATAAATGTCTGCTTATGGGTACATCAGTGAAAAGCAACTAATGATATCACAATTGTGCATAAAAACTTTAATGAGTACAACGTGACTGCAATAAAATTTTGAATACACACTAGGCTATTCAGAAGATATTGTTGCCACTAATAAACTAGCATTGAGAGTTCTTGAAAATGTTAGTCAACATAGCAAATGATCAATGGAGAAATACTTATCATCAATAAGCAAGTAAAACTGCACTGCTGTTTTACATGAATATTTTGCTCTTCAATTTGAAGTAAATTAAAAGTTTGTAGTTGCATATGAATATGGTTTCATACATGTCATATGAAATTTGCACCTAAAAACCCTTTAGTACAATGTACTAAGATATTTTTTAGAAAAGAGTACAAATGTATGGGGGAAAAACAATGTTTAACCATATATATCCTTGTGTTTTGCAGAAAATGGTAAGTTAACAAAATCATATTAAACATAACAGCAACATAATTTTTATTTTTTATAATTAAAAAACTACATTACATAAATAATATAAATTTTTAAAAAAAATAACAACTCCTTACATCAATAACAAGAAAGATAACTTGCACAACTTTTTAAAAATTATAATTTTTTTTTTAAAGTTTCAAATGGTTATTTTTTCCTTTTGTGAAATCTTAGTTATTAATATAAGAACAGATATTCAAAGATTTTAAATATTTATGCTTAAAATCCATTCAAATCAAAATTTCCTTTTAACTCCAAAACATTCTCATATTTCATGCAACTTAACAACCAAGGCAATTAAAGTAATTTGTATAGAAACAACATATGACTGGGTCAATGAATACGCATATGAAATAAGCAAGATTAGAACTGTGATGCTGTTAAAAAAGTTGAATTTTTTTCATGTTGATTTAATATAATAATATTCATTTATTTTGATTTAATCTCAACTATCTAGATACATTTATAAAATATTGTTATACCCAGATTATTTTTTTCTCTTTTTTCAAACATTTATATGCCTCTTTCATCTTTTGATACAATCTTTTGTCAAATAACAAAGTACAGTGTATATATAGAATACTGTAATTTTACCATATTCATCCACTGAAAAAATGGAATCTCATTTTAAAAATGTACCTTTTATTTAAGGATTGATAACAAAAGGTGAATGAGAAAATGTTTGACTTATTCCACAAAAACTGCAGTTGTGAGTTGAATTGATCGAGGCATGTGATTAAAAGATATTAGCTTGTTAATTTATGAAAAAATTGACAATTAGAGTGGTATTTAAGCTCCAGAGTAACATAGAACAATCTTCAACAGGTCCAAAATACCTGTGTGTGGTGTCCATTGAGAGAGGTCAATGCTGGGCTATTGTCCTTATGTTTTAGAGGGATCCAGATTTCTTGAAGGCCCCTTTAACAAATTAAAGTTTAAATTAAAATAAATATAGATTTTTATAAATTTTTAAATACCTGAGTGTGTGAGCCTGTGACAGATGATTCAATGGGTATTTGTTGTTCATTTCTGAGAGGAATACGGATATTATCCAGCCCCCTAGAGGTAAAATATGGACAAGGTGGAGAAATGTACTCTTTGTAGTGTTCAATAGCAACCTTTGGTTCTTGTATCAAGTGCAAATTGCATCAAATAAATACTTAAAATATATGAATAACCATTACAGTGTGCTTATACTTTTGGAAAAATTAATTCACAAAAACATATAAAACATAAAGTGTATACAAAATTGCTTATTAGTATCTGACAACTAGAATAATGGAGCTTTAATTCCTTTTTGGAACCAAATCTAGTCCTGTTATAAATAGTGTTCTTGAAAAACAAAAAATCATAATGGGCTTACAATATCATTATGGTACCAAATTCAAATCTTATATGTGAACTAAAAGTGAATGCCAGGTATAAGATCTTACTTGTTCAGAACCTCTTGACTACAGCCAGAAGCTGCTATAGAATTCTCCCACACCACTTTTGGATCCACTCCTTCAGGTCTGATGTAAGTTCTCTCATTTCCTACATCTACAGTGACCTTTGGGTCATAGCAGGGAACCACAATACCTCGTTTAACCAAAATTAGTTCTCTGCATAGCTGAAAATGCAAGACTTTTCTTCAAAGGAAACAAAGGAAAAGCCAATCTGTGATTATTAAAAATTACATTATTTCATTTACCATCATACTTCATGCTAAATTTATCATTTGCATATTATTTTGTTGCTTCTTTTATAAGCTACAAGTATACATGCATATAGTTTAACCAGTTTTATACATGCATTAGTTATTTTTTTTAACATCATGATAGAATTTTAGAGTTTGAGTAATTTTATTTATAAAATGTTTCCAAAATCTGTGATTTTTATTATATAAAATTTAATTAGTTTTTTTTTAAATCAACAACATAGGAATTTTACCTTGATAGAAATACAGGAAACCTTGACATCCGTGTTGTTAGTAATGATGATTCTCAATTTAGCCACATCTCCTGACTGCCACACTTGTTTAGTCAATCTAAAATAAGTAGACATAGGTATTAGATGTCAATATAGACTGAATAAAATATCACAATTTATAACTGACTGTGTAATAAACTATTTGATAAGAACTGTGCAGATTTTTACATTTTTGTTTTACTTCATAAAACTAAGTTTTCAAGAAACCTTGACTTTTACAAAAATTACTTGCAATATTTTTAAGAAGATTTGTGGTGAATTTGAAGGAAATGCAGTGAATAAATTTCTGATCCCTTAGATGCAAACAATCAAGACACTCAAAATACGCTTTTGAAGTCCATTGCAGAAAAATACCTTGATTTGCTTGACATAACACACTTTTCTACTGTATTTTTTCCCAGTACCATGTGATATTACAACATAATACAATTAGTGAGAAAGTGTGACTCAGTTAAGATTATCATTTATCAAAGCAATGCTTATGCGCCTGCATTCTGATGAAATAAACACAAATTTGGTTGTATTTCTTCATATCTTTGATTTCCTAAAATAAAATTAATATCACAGATCATGTACAAAGCATGTATGGTTTTTGTTGTTTGTTTGTGTGTTTTTTTTCCTAAACAGTGAACATGCATGTGCAGAGACAAAATAATTAATTTGATAACCCAGTAAATGTTACTGACACTTTACATAACACATTTTTTTCCTTCCTTATAACAAAAAATAACCATATTCATGAGGAGAGTACCTTGAATATTTACAAAGTCATATATTCAATTTCTTTCTTCCAAAAATCATAAATCCAAAAAACATTTTTTTATATATTTATATGTATTTTAACTTATTCAGTTATTTCAAAAAAGGCACATCTATTCTGATGTACCTGTCGGCATGCATACACACAAGAAAATGTTTCCTTTACATACATTTTACCAAACTCTCCAAGTTTCTATCATGCTAATTCCAAAATGTGAATGTAATCAGTCTACAGTATTACTTTTGTACCCTGGTACACAGAATATGTGAATTGCAAACTGAAATACAGTTCAGTGTGACATCAGTTAGACTACTGATTTTTTTATAGTGCATTCAGTGTCACATCAGTTAGACTACTGATTCTTTTATAGTGCATTCAGTGTGTCATCAGTAAGGCTACTGATTCATTTAAAGTGCAAAAGTGACATACTTAGCAGTGACATGCAAGCTCTTCTTGAGGAACAGGAAATGAGAGACCTCGATTTTACAGTCCACAGCCATGGGAGGGTCATTGGGGAGCAGGAAGCTAGGCAACGGGTGATTTACCACCAGAAATTGATCAGTCTAGTTGTAAAAAGATTAAAATAAGAGTGAAAATATTTTACTTTTAAATTCATGTATATGTGTATTTCTATTTTATTCCTGATCATAAATACAGTCATTCAAAACATACAAAAAAAATGTGCATAAATCAAAGAATTTAAAATGTACAAAGATTGCCTTTGTAACTTTTTTCAAAGTACTTTTCATTGATATTTACTTGCATTGAAAAGAAAACCAAATTTAAAATCTTCTTTTTAATATTTATCAAGAAAATTAAAGAGTTTTACCGATATGCTTTCAGCTCCAATAAGCTCAGCTTTCAGCCAATACTGGACGGATGCTCTCCATTTTCCATTATCTGCCACATTTTCTGATGAGAAGGACCCTAAAATTTAAAAACGTCAATATTTAACAATTAACATTTACATATTACATATTGATGTCCTTTTAATTATGATGTCAGTAATATTCAAATGTAGGTTAGCAAAGTGGACATGTTGAACAATTCTAACAGAGAGTTAACTATAAGACATCAATAAAATGTGAGTTGGTTAATTTATTATTTGAAAATAAATTACAAAATTTTCTGACTTTCGAAGAACAATTTTTAAACTGACAGTTAAGTAACACGTTGTTCAAAATTAAATGGCTAGTTACAGCATTAACTGGGAGTTGATTCAACTGTTGTGCAACTGAACAGCTGTTAACAACAGGTCAAATACAAGTTAATTATTTCAATTACTGGTTTCCTGGTTCTCAAGTGTCGATCCTCTTCTATTTTTAAAAAATACATTAAATACTTGCAATATATTCACACCAGTATAAGAATTACAAAACAAACCAGGAAATGGTGAAGAGCTGTTGAAGGATGTTTTAAAAAAAAAGATTATGAAAGCTGTAAACATTATTAAAAAAAGCTTCCAACCTGGTATTTCTGTAAGTAAGGACACTTTGAAAGGAAAACAGTAGGAACCAATGCCCATAACATCTGTATCTGGAAAAAGATCACAGTTTTAACTTTATGATAAAATGTTACACATTAAAATATACTTTCTTATGTAACTGTGGAAAGGTTAACACTTTTAAATCAACTTTGTTACATACATGTATCAAGTTTCACATCAAGACTGAGGGAATAGAATCTCACCTTCACATGTGTACAATGTGACATCTTTTGCATCAATATAACATTTGCTATCATTCAAACATTGACCTTCATGCTTTTCATTTCCTAAGCACTCATAAAAAACTGAAATGTACAAAAAAACAATTCAAATTTAAAATAAACATTAAAAGTCATTAAGTTATACTTTATGTGAAAATCTTAATTATTACATGTAATCATTAAAAAAAATCTTCAAACAGTGTTCCCTGTACTTACTGCTTTCTAATCCTTCAAACTTAAGACGAATTCCTCGTCCTGCAGTAGGATTACATATATTCAAGTACACAACACTAAAATGAAGAGAAAATTAAGTCATATAGAAAAAGTGTAACTTTTTTTTCATTGGAGACATTGAATGGCCCCAATTAAAGATCTTAATCAAGAACCTTGATCTCATTACAATTTCACAGAATATACCAGGAATTTTGTGTGTTCTGATATGTAGTACCATAATATGTAGAAAATTCTATAAATTCTATAAAATGGTAAACAAAGATTTTCTCTATCTTCCAAATTAGCCTTATATCTTCAGTTTTTTTTTTTTTTTTGAAACCTAGGCCTAACCAGAAGTCTCTGTCAAGACTGTAGCTCTACTGGTTTGTACTTATAACAAAGGATGAGAAAAATAGCCATTGCCATCAGACCAAAACTGTTGAAGGGGCAGAGTTTTAAAGGAATTTCACAGACATTTCTATTTTTAGTAACCATGGCAACACTGTTCATCGAAATCAAAAACTGATGCATTATTTCATGTATCTTAGTGTAGTCTACTTGTGTGCCAAGTAATATTGAAATCAGACCAAAACTATAGAAGGAGTAGCGTTTTAAAGGATTTCACAGAAATTCTATTTTTAGTAACCATGGCAACACTGTTCATCGAAATCAAAAACCAATGCACTATTTCATGTATCTTAGTGTAGTCTACTTGTGTGCCAAGTTATATTGAAATCAGAACAAAACTGCAGAAGGAGTAGCGTTTTAAAGGAATTTCAAAGACATTTCTATTTTTAGTAACCAAGGCAACACCATCCATTGAAATCACAATCCGATGCTCTATTTAATGTATCTTAGTGTAGTCTACTTGTGTGCCAAGTTATACTGAAATCAGACCAAAACTGTAGAAGGAGTAGCGTTTTAAAGGAATTCACAGACATTTCTATTTTTTGTAACCATGGCAACACTGTTCATCGTAATCAAAATCCGATGCACTATTTTATGTATATAAGTGTAGTCTACTTGTGTGCCAAGTTATATTGAATTCAGACCAAAACTGTAGAAGGAGTAGCGTTTTAAAGGAATTTCACAGAAAATTCTATTTTTAGTAACCATGGCAACACCCTTCATCGAAATCAAAATCCGATGCACTATTTTATGTATCTTAGTGTAGTCTACTTGTGTGCCAAGTTATAATGAAACCAGACCAAAACTGTAGAAGGAGTAACGTTTTAAAGGAATTTCACAGAAAATTCTATTTTTAGTAACCATGGCAACACTGTTCATCGAAATCAAAATCCAATGCACTATTTTATGTATCTTAGTGTAGTGTACTTGTGTGCCAAGTTATATTGAAACCAGACCAAAACTGTAGAAGTAGTAGCGTTTTAAAGGAATTTCACAGAAAATTCTATTTTTAGTAACCATGGCAACATCGTTCATCGAAATCAAAATCTGATGCACTATTTTATGTATCTTAGTGTAGTCTACTTGTGTGCCAAGTTATAATGAAATCAGACCAAAACTGTAGAAGTAGTAGCGTTTTAAAAGAATTTCACAGAAAATTCTATTTTTAGTAACCATGGCAACACCGTTCATCGAAATCAAAATCCGATGCACTATTTTATGTATCTTAGTGTAGTCTACTTGTGTGCCAAGTTATATTGAAATCAGACCAAAACTGTAGAAGGAGTAGTGTTATAAAGGAATTTCACAGAAAATTCTATTTTTAGTAACCATGACAACATCGTTCATCGAAATCAAAATCCGATGCACTCTTTCATGTATCTTATTGTAGTCTACTTGTGTGCCAAGTTATATTAAAATCAGACCAAAACTGTAGGAGGAGTAGCGTTTTGAAAAATTGTTTACAGACAGACGGACGGACGACGGACACCTTACTATCGCATAAGCTCTTCTGGTCTCTGACCAGTAGAGCTAAAAATGAGCCTTTTGACCAATTTAAAGCATCAACATCTCAGTAAAACAGTAATTGAAGCAGATCCACTCTGTTATTGATTAAGAAAAATCATATAATGCAAAAGTATAACCAGAAGTCTTTTTTTTGCTCTACTGGTTTGTACTTATAGCAAAGGTAGAGAAAAGTTCTTAAGCAGTTGGGAATTGAAACATTACAACAGCAATAAAAAAATAATCATCCTTGATTAAGGCTCTTTATGTTCTTAGTGTAGTCTACTTGCATGCCACATTATATTATAATCAGACTTAAACTGTATTTGGAGTAGCATTTTGAGAGTATTTAACAGAAATTTCTATTTTTAGTAACCAAAGCAAAAATGTTCATCAAAGTCAAAAACTGATAAACAAAATTGTGTATCTTAGTATATCTACTTGTGTGCCACGTTATATTGAAACCAGACCAAAACTGTAGGAGGAGTTGCATTTTGAAAGAATTTCACAGAAATTTCTATTTTTAGTAACCACGGCACAATATATCGATATCTTGACACCGTTCATCGAAATCAAAAACCGATATACAGAATTATGTATCTTAGTGTAGTCTACTTGTATGCCAAGTTATATTGAAATCAGACCAAAACTGTAGGAGGAGTAGCATTTTGAAAGAATTTCAAAGAAATTTCTATTTTTAGTAACAACGGAAACACCGTTCATCGAAATCAAAAACCGATACACAGAATTATGTATCTTAGTAAAGTCTACTTGTGTGTCAAGTTATATTGAAATCAGACCAAAACTGTAGGAGGAGTAGCATTTTGAAAGAATTTCAAAGAAATTTCTATTTTTAGTAACAACGGCAACACCGTTCATCGAAATCAAAAACCGATACACAGAATTATGTATCTTAGTAAAGTCTACTTGTGTGTCAAGTTATATTGAAATCAGACCAAAACTGTAGGAGGAGTAGCATTTTGAAAGAATTTCACAGAAATTTCTATTTTTAGTAACCACGGCAACACCGTTCATTAAAATCAAAAACCGATACACAGAATTATGTATCTTAGTGTTGTCTACTTGTATGCCAAGTTATACTGAAATCAGACCAAAACTGAAGGAGGAGTAGCAGTTTGAAAAAATGTTTACAGACAGACAGACGGACAGACAGACAGACGGACAGACAGAGGGACGGACGACGGATGCATTACTATCGCATAAGCTCTTCTGGTCTCTGACCAGTAGAGCTAAAAATTACAAATTCCTGCTCAGCCATATATCTGAGAAATTGCCAATTTCAGTGTTTGTTTTCTTTATATTTATAAATCATATTATCATGATTATAATACTAGCGCAGTGTTGCGAAGCGATACTGGTCACTGCGAGCCTTAACAACAATGTCTGTGCAAAGAGAAAATTCAGACTACTACACTTCATTCCATAGAACTTTATTTCTTCAGTAACTTGGGACTCACAATGCATTGCTTCTTTAAGCTGCGTTCTCGCGAGAATAACAACATAAAGTTCAACAAACATAAAACAGACTTTATTAAATGGATTTTTCTTGCAGATAAATAGCAAATAAAAGGTTCTTCATTTAATATTTTCAGACTTCAGTTTGGTAATATACAGCTAAAAATACTACATCATGTGACATCAGAGACTCAGAGTGTAGAGGCACCAAATGTCATATGCAGTTTGACAAGTCTGATCTAAATTAAGACTGAAAAAGTATCTGTGCTTCCTCTAATGGTCGTACCTTCAACATATTATATGCTTAAAAAATTATTAAAAATACATTCCAATACATATAAAAGGAAAAAATGACATTAATCAGAAAACAAGCTTTTTACTGGCAATAAATTTATAGTTTGAAAAACTTGTAGCTTTGTGCGTGATGTTTTGTTAAATAAACATGGCTGATGAAGTGCGATATTAAGCCTTGAAACCGGCATGTTGATTTACCCAAATGGACCCAAATAGAACCCAAATGGAAACACAAATGGACCCAAATGGAAATCAAATTGACCTAAATGGAAATCAAACGGAATATTAAATATGTTTTAACGTATTTTATTACTTATTTAAAATGATAAAATAAAAGAACTTACAGTTACAAATGGAGTTTTAAATTTATTATTAATTTCTAACATTGTATTTTGAGACATGAAATTGAATTATTTTTTTATATTATTCTATATATCGGCAAAATTGTTTGGGAAGGCATGGCCTCCCCCCCCCCATTACTCCGTTCTTACAGCCATGTAAACTATATACTTCAGTTTTGTATTCAATTATGTGCAAAAGTTATTACAAATAAAAAAAAAATATCGTATTTTTCAAATGTGGCGGTCAGACAGGTTTGATCGCCGGTGGCCAGATAGCTTAGTTGGTAGAGCACCTGAACAGAGATTCAGGGGGCCAGGGTTGGAATGCTGGTCTGGTCCGCATCATTTTTCTCCTCACCCATTACATTTGGTGCCGTGCCATGCCCTGGAATTGACAGGTGAAAGACCTGCCAGGGATGAGCCTGGGTTGGGGTCTTTGGAGGGCCAAAGACCTTCAAGAAGGGAGGAATGTGGCAGTCAGCCAGGTTCGATCGCTGGTGGCCAGATAGCTTAGTTGGTAGAGCACCTGACCAGAGTTTCAGGTGGCCCGGGTTCGAATCCCAGTTTGGTCCGCTGCATTTTCTCCTCTCCCGTTACACAAAATACAATTTAAGAAAATAATAATATTAAAATATCCTCTTTTTGTTAAGTTCATTATTTTCAATATTTTGAATAAGTAACAACTTGAAAATACGATAATATATATATTCTATATCCCATTTCAGTCCATCTGATTTCCATTTGAGTTTCCATTTGGGTCCATTTGTTTCCATTTGGGTCCATTTGGGTAAATCGACGCACCCCTTTAAACAGTCACATACCTGCGACTTTTTCAGTTTTTTTTTTTAAATAAAAAATTATTATTTTTATTTTAAAATACCTTGATTAAGCAATCCTTTATTAAGCTACTCAGAATACTAAATCTATAAGTGTAATCAGATTGTCATTGTAATCAGGTAATGGAACTGCAAAAAAAAAAACATGAAGTATGATTCAAAAAATTACCCATAGACATTTTCTCCTGGATTGTATTCACCCTTATTTGTCCTCAAAATGATTTCGTTCATGGCACACTGCAGTAAAACCTGCTACAGAAGCAAACATCAACATGCTAGCACCACAAGAATCGAGTCACAGCCATAACAAAAACTTCCGGTAAACTAGTCTTCATCCTTAGCTATTTAGATAGGGTAAAATCTAGAGGACTTAATCATAGGGACCAGCTAATAATTCCGAACGAAAATCTTAGTCAAAGAAGTGTTTAAAATATATATATGAGACATAAGAGGTAAAAGAGGTGAAATAACTTTGAGCAACTTTCATGTTTAGTTTGTAAAACGGTAAATTTTACACGAGGGGAATATAGACATTGTTTGATAAATATGCAGGACTTAGTGGCACCCGTTACCCACATCAAATTTGATTTGGAAGTAGCCCTTGAACAGCAATTGGGGTCACAGCCACTTCCATTCCCTGGGATGGACAGTGAGTGTATTTTTTAAAACTCTTTCTTTTCCGCACCTGTAGTCTCTTCCAAATTACAAACCAGTGCCACACATAGTGATTTGGGAAATCTTACAGATTTTAATGATAGAAAATAGGTTTCATTAGCTGATTAGATACTCTATCCTCTTTATCTCCTTGTCCACTTGCCAAAAATTGAAGAAAAATTAATTTTGTATTACAATCACAATGGATGAAACTCAGATATTTAATACCACATGACTTATTAGCAAAATGCATGTTTGTTCACAACAGTTTGCTTAGGAACTAAGGCATAATGCTCTTTTTCACTTTAAATACTTATAATATATGAACCAAAGATTTAACTGATGAGGGTGTAAAATTAATTTTGATATTGTCAATGGTTTAACGACTAAAATCAGATATTTAATGTACAAAGAAACACGGGCGATAACTCGCATAGTGCATTTAGCAACAATTGAGAGTTCCGCATGGAGGTAATTTGAATCAGAGAAAAACGTTTTAATTGGATTTTCGTATTTATATGGATTATTTTTTGGGATAAAAGGCATAAGCAATCTCAAAAAGGTTTGTTTTGATTATTTTGGTAGTTATTCTCATTTTATCATTCTTTAAATACTTGCATAATATATGTGGTGAGGGCTTGTACCGAGACACAGTTATATTATTCTAACTGATGAGGATGAAGTTGATAGAAGAGAACATTGTAAAAGAATTTATTAATTTGTAATTTTCTTTTTACAGAATCTGGAGCAGCAATATGTACATTTTATCTCAGTAATGTGTGTAGTAAGGGGACAGCCTGCCCCTATAGACATGTTAAAGGAGATAGGACAGTGGTATGTAAACATTGGCTCAGAGGACTCTGTAAAAAGGGAGATGACTGCGAATTTCTCCACGAGTTTGACATGAGTAAAATGCCTGAGTGCTACTTCTTCTCCAAGTTTGGTAAATAAGTGTTCTTCTTATAATTTAAAAGTTATTATCAGGTGCTAATTAATGCATGTCAGTTCACAATTTTACATGTACATCAATCCTTGATTACGAGGTAGATTACAGCTAGTGAGCTACAAAATAAATGTGAATGTTTAATTATCAATATATTAAACATTACTTTAAGGTAGCCCACGCCCAATATGCTTTCATGTAATTATTTCCTAAAATCTCTAGTGTAATCAATAAAAACTCTTTACTACAGGTGAGTGTAACAACAAAGAGTGCCCTTTCCTTCACATTGACCCCTCGGCCAAAATAAAAGACTGTCCCTGGTATGACAGAGGATTCTGCAGACATGGTATCTAATACATGATTATGGAAATGAATTGTATATATATCATAGTATTATTAAATGACTAATTAACATAAATATTTAGTTGAACAATCAAGTTCTTTCCTAATTATAATTTTTTTTTTTCATTTACTGCCAAGGTGTTGAAGACCCTAAAGTGATATACCAACAGTCATAACTACTCAAAACTCACTTTAACATATCAGTAGTGTTAAAACACTGTGTTCTAGATATTTAGGTTCAACTGTGTCACCTATATGTAAAATACATGTTTATTTCAGGACCGAACTGTAAAAATCGTCATGTCAGAAGAGTTTTGTGTCAGTGCTATCTCAATGGTTTCTGCTTGGAAGGACCTAAGTGTAAATATATGCAGTGAGTATCAGACAAGATAACCTTAAATATCTTCACACATTTCTGTTTGTTTTATCTGATGATACTGTATTAAAGAAATAAACTTACTTTGCTGAGGATTCACTAAATATTATTCTGAAAAATAAATAAGTTTTATTTTGATATTTATTAAGGATATCTGATTCTCAACCAGGAACAGTAACTTTTGAATTTTGTACAAAACAACTTTTATATTTAATTTAAAAGGTCCCAAAATGAACCAGAAACAAAAATCATGAAAATGAATAGTTTTATATTTCCTCTGGTTTTTATCTAATATTTTTTTTTCATTTTACAGTCCCAGTTTTGATATTCCTGTCTTTGAACAGCAGACAACCAGCAAGAAAGTTAACATAGTTTGTCATTTCTGCTCTGAACCCGGTCACAAAGCACTGAGCTGTCCAAAGATGAAAACAGATTATAAAATTTTCATATACAAAACAAATTTTATATTATAGATTTAAAAGAGCCCTGATCGCTAAAATTTATTGTGCACTAAAGGATTTCTAAATATTTTTTGTGTGTTCAAAGCTTTCACTTAAGTACATGTAAACCGGAACACGCGATTACGTTATGTCGAAAGGTCATTGGATTTTATATACACATTAGCACTGTACATGGTAGTATCTTTTGAGAAAGTTCTGCCAAATTATAATTTAATTAAACTATTGTAAGTTGTTACCCGATACTTATAATTAGCACCTTTAAAGTTTGGCTTCTTGGCTTGTCAGTCATCTATCGCCTCGAGGTAAACAATGCAATCAAGCATGGCGATTGAGCTTTCAGACAATACCTGATATGATTACCGTTTATCGAAGTAACTTTCTTTCGATGCATGCATTGTTTTAATATGAATAAAATGTGTAAATACTCCATTTTATTTGATTCTTTTATTTGAAATAAAATAAGAATAAAATTAAACAATGTGCCACGTCTATGTGATTGCAACATGATGGTAAAGTTGACAATTGATTACCTATGTACGGGGGTGCTTTTGTGCATTTTCTGTGCTTGACTAACCAAAGAGTCAAGTACGGGCATGGATAAAATAATATCACATTTATATATTCTAATGACAAGTGCAAGCGCTAAAATTTATTTGCGCCAAATATATACTTATTTTTTTCTGGTTTTACAGTAATTATTTTAAAAACATATCCTTACTGTAGTTCAAAACCATAAAGGATTGCTAGTCAAGTAAAATATTGATAAGAAAATGAAGATGGTCAGTTATATAATATTCTTATTCTATTTATAGAATGTTATCCAGACCACAATGGACAGTACTTCACAGCCTGGGACTGGTCACAATGTGTATCTCCCCTACAAACCACTCACCAGTCACGATAACTATGTAGATCCAAGACGACCGCTTGACCAAGTTACTTGCTTCAAGGTACTGCATCTGAAATTAATTTTTAAAAATACCTATATGCTTTACTAAATGACCAATTGTACATATTTTATGGATGTAATTGATATTAAATTATTATTTTGGTTTGTTATGGTGACATTTTCTCAAATTGATTATTAAAAAAAATACTTGTTTCTTTTTTTTCAGTGTGGAGAGAAAGGACATTATGCCAATAAGTGTCCAAAGGGTCATTTAGCATTTTTAGCCTCATCTTCAGGAAGTTGACCTTGCAAGAACTCCTTCTTGGAATATCAATTTGTACTGTATAAAACTGATTGCAAAAGACTTGACAGCTTTTGTCCAAAGCTTTTCATTGTGACTGATTTTCGTACTGAAAAGTATAAATGTAAAACATTGAGAAGTGAAGGAATTGTCTGATTGTATATTGTAAATATGTAAAATTCATTGAAATATGAAGAATATATTTTAGAAAAAAAAAATACAAATGTTTTTCTTATTTCCATGATTTTTTTAAAAATAAGAAGTTGTTGTATTGTTGAAGTAGAAGTTCATACCAATTTAATTCTGAGTTTCTTTTAGTTATATTTTTAATTCATCTATTAGCATTAAGTACATATTTCAAACTCAATACCTTGTCATTTCTCTGGGACTACTTTCCCTACAAATAATGATATGGAGTTGAAGCATAATGTAATACATATACTGAGCTTTCTGGAGCTTGAGTATATTTAAGTATACTAGTATTTGAAATGAACTTGTTAGAATGATGTGTAAATGTTTAATGATTCAGTAATAATTATTTATAGATACATAATTTGCAAAGGACTGCTAACTTCAAATTGCTGCCTCAACTTCACGTGCATCGATTCTTTACATTCCAGTAAAAACACATTTGAAAGTGATATTTATTAAGTTGTAAAAATATTTCAGGGTACGTAGTCCAATCCTGATTCCAAAAATCTAGCCTTATTAATTGATAATGCCTACAAAAATTACTCTGAATTCTCAAAGTAAAGTGTATTCACCCACAGGAAATCTTTAAACTTCATCATTAAAGTTATGACATTTTTATTGTATATACTCGCCTATAAGTCAGTCCGCATATCAGTTGATTGTATTTATTGAGCTTGTATAAGAGGGATTGACCCTCTAAATTCCAGTCATTATATAACTCGCCTGTAAGTCGGACGATGAGTTTTGGTCCAAAATTCAACTCCCAAAAACTGACTTATAGGTGAGTGTGTACAGTATCACTATCACAGATAACTTTCCAAGTACGAATAAAAACCAAATATGTATTTCTAATTGAAAATTAACCAGCAGACATATTATAGGGTTAAAGAACTATAGGTATTCAGGCTTTTGAAAGAAATGTTGGGTACAAATGTCAGCTTTTTTAAGAATTTCTTTCAAATGTCAAAAAAATCGGATTTATTTTTACACATAAACAGTTTTTTGTAAACTATAGCTTTCAAAGCCTGTTAACATGAGGATGTAATTCATTAACCTGTTTTCATCTGTAAAACTATATTTAATGGTTGTTAGAAACATTTTCGAAGAACGTTATGCAAGTTTATCTGCGAAATATGTTAAAATGAATTTTGTGATAAACAGATTTACGTCTGTAAACTATTATTTACAATCGTGAACTATAGTTAAGTGTTATTATTCATAATTTCACTAATCATGAAACTATATATATCACAGCGTTAACAACAGTTGCCGTTTGAATGGAGCGGACAAAGTGAAACTGTATTTATTGCCGATTACGTTTTGGGAACCAGAGGCGGCATTCTCGAGTTGATTTTTGATACTTGCGATTCGATTTAAATTTCAAAGTCACAAGCTTTCAATAGTACAATAATAAAAGTACTTATCAATATCGTTTTTATTTTTCATTTATAAAATATGCAATCCGTTGAAAAGATTTTATCACACTGTCTAGATTTGTCATCATTTTGTGCATTTTAAAATCTTGCAAGTTCTGTAACGAAATGTGGAGAGATATTTTTATTTCATCGATATTGGTGAGTACTAAAGGCATTGTTGTTAAATTCTGATTTCAGCATTCAATTCGGTTTGCAAGTATTCAAAAATGAACTCCGATAGGAGACGGCGAAATTTCCAGTTTTCGTAATGGCGCCGGTTCTGACGTTTTCTTGGCATATAAAATATCAAAATCGTAAAAAAGCCAGAGAAACGTCAGATTTTTCGGACTAAGTTGGACGATGAGGTTTGATCCGAAAATCAACTCCCAGAAACTGACTTATAAGTGAGTGTATACGGTATATAGAAAATTAACTATAATTAACAACCGTTAAATATAGCTTAAGGATGACATTTACTCAGATTTCAGAAAACAGAAAGGAAATTTTATAAAGTATAATATGTTAAATTAACAATTGTTCTAATTGGATAAAATTACGAAGTTTTAACTCAATATCAATTTAAAAATTTCATATTTTATTATTTGAAGAAAATATACGGGAACAAAAGTCAGTGCATGGTAATGCAGAGGAAATTCGGACTAAATTTTTTATTTTTCATTTTTGTCAAAATATTTTATTCCTTGCAATATATGTCACAATGTAAAGGTTACATGTATTTTTAGACATCATTTTGCAAATTTTATAAGTCTTAAAGGTCATAAATTATGACCTTAAAAACCATTCCAGGCAACATATCTCAATAAATTGAGCATTGACCCCATATAATGTTAATACCATGAGAATTACGGCAACAAAGGTAATATGAGGCTATAAATAATTCAGAGTTCTTATCATTCAGATTTTTTAAATATTCGATTATAAATGGGAAAAAATATAAATATGATAGAAGAAATTCGAACTGTAGTAATAATTATCAAGTTTATGGCCAAAACTCTAATCAATTCTTTTTATGAAGCAACACTGTTCCATTACTATAACATTTCATTATTTATAGAGTTTTGTTGCTTGAAATATTTTGTGAGTGAAGAAAAAATTGGTGATAGAGTGAAAAATTGAGGTACACGTATTTCCCGAGAAAAAATCTGGGATCACTAGCATGAAAAGTAGGTCATTGACCTAGTTATTTGAAACTGAAATTTAACACAAGAATTATAGGTGTACAATTAATGTGCAATAGGTAGTTTTTCGTTCTTATCAGTGGAATTTTTAGTCATCTTAGTAAAGGTATACCTTAACAGATGAAAACTATAGTTAACGAATTGTTAACTATAGTTCACGGTTTGTAAACTCTAGTTTGCAGTCGATAAACCTAGTTTATCAACTGTGAAACTATGTTTAGCCCATTTTTGTGAATTTGCGTGCCATAGTTAACTACTGTTGTTAATCATAGTTTGACAAATCGTGAAAATATATTTACCACATCGTTAACTATAGCTAAGAGTTGTAAACCATAGTTTACAAATCGTGAAATTACTTATCAGATAATCAATGTTTTGCAATCGCAAATGATTGTTTTCAATGTTAAGTATAGTTTACGGTTCTGAAACATATAGATTTATATCGCCTTAATTATGGATTATGTAAAATATAGATTAACGTTGTTAACTTTAGTTTACAGTCCGTAAACTATAGTTTACAACCGATAAACCTAGTTTATCGACTGTGAAACTATGTTTAGCTCATTTTTGTGAATTTGCCATGCCATGTCTAAGACATCACAGAACCTTGAAGAGAAAAATTGTTGTATGAAAAGATTTCAATTTCGAGCTTCATTTTGAGACTTTTTGAATTAAATAACGAATTTACAAGATATGTTTATGAAATACTATGCCCCCGATGGTAACACAGTTCTGGACTTGGACGTAGACTGAAGTGGTATACACTTACCCTTGGCAGCGCAAAAGTTATGGGCTAGGTTAAAGTTGACAACAGAATAACAGACAGACAGTACAAAAACAATATACCCCCGGGCTCTTTCGATCCGGGGGCATAAAAAATTATCCTTCCTAGCTGAGGAGTTGATAAACTTAAGGGGAAAACATCCCCCCATAAAATTAACAAGGCTAGATCATTTCAGGATGATTATGAGTCTGCCAGAAATACACAATTACACGTAACAATTGTATAACTAAAGGAATGTTTACTTGTCAAAAAATATATATATATAATGAATGTGTTCGCACGTATTTAACAGATTTTATGGATGGAAAATCTGTTTCATACCTAACCAGCATATCATACTTTTTTTTTTTTTTTTTTTACTGTTGGTCTTGTTATTCAGCAGCTGCAACAGATTTGTTTTATGACGTAAAACAGAATTTTTTTCAACTTGAAAGTCGATATGTTGCAGTATTCCGCATTAAATCAAAATGGTCAAGTCGTGCTTTATAAAGAGCCCTATTTTACCCAGCAATTCAGCGAATTCATCAGAAGCTTTTGTAAAACTGACTGGAAACCTTATTTTACCAACAACTGTTCTTTATAACACTAGTCTTGTTATTGTCAAGAGTTTTATCTAATTAAGTCGCCAAGATGTAGTCAGCTGATGCGACGACAATTCAATAAGTTTACACAGAATTAACGTTATTAACGATCTGCGCGCGCATTTACTGGCAGTATGAAAAGGCTTCATCGATTCTATCATATTGACACTTTACAAAAAATGTCGACCCTTAATATCCCTGGATTAGTCTCTGCTTTGTCAAACCATTGTATATCCATGTACTGATAATGTACTGACTTCTCCAGCATGTTAAATTATTAATATTGCTTCAAAGCAACGCTTGTCTCAGAGAGAGATTAAAATATGGCGGATTTTTAAGGGGAAATGTATTCAAAATATATTGAGAAATAGAATAAGATAAAAGTGAGCCATAGTACAGCACTGGTTCTTAAAAATCTTTTTCCTGTGTTAATTAATTTGGTTCAAAGCCGAATGATTGATATGGAATCCTAACAATCACTGCACCACTTTTTTGTCGAATCTTATGTTCACAGATTTTTATACCCCCTTAATAAATCGAAGATTTGGGGGGTATATATTTTTGCCCTGTCCGTCTGTATAGCTATCTGTTTGCCCACAAAACTTTAACCTTGCCGGTAATTTTTGACTGGATGGGGCTATGGACGTCAGGGGCGTTAAATTATTTATATTGCTTCAAGCAACGGGGAGAGAGATTAAAATATGGGGGTTTTCGGCCCCCCCACTTTTTTTCCCAACCTACATTACACTATCGGACATGTTAATTGAAAGCTTGGTTGGCCCCCCCACTTTTAGAAATGTACCGAACATGTAGTACAAGAATTGGTACTAAAAGTAGTTGACACTGAGAAAAAGTTTACCTGCACCTCTTTTTCCCCCCCCCCCCCCAGGTTTTTATACCCCCTTAATATAGGATTTTCGATTTGGGCAACTTTTATATTTTTTTTTTTTCCGTCTGTATTTTTTTTGCTTGTAAACTTTTTTAGTAAAAAAAAACTTTAACCTTGCTAGTAACTTTTGACTGGGTGGGGCTATGGGCGTATTCCTTGTGAAAGACCTTTCTCTGGGTACCACCAAATTTGACCTCTTGTCCTTAGAGTTTGACCCGCTTTTCAGAAATATACAAAACGAAAATCTTAGCCTTAACTTTTTAACAGTTGGCGTAAGGGTTTTCATACTTTCACATGTGTATTCATGGTATAAATATTTTTGACCTTGACCTTAGAGTTTGACCCTCAACCTTGACCATAACTTTTGAACAGTTAGTACTTGGGCTTGAAAATCATATTTCACAGGTGTATTGTGACAAGACCTTCCCTTGATACCAACAATTTTGACCTTTGAGTTTGAATTGCATTTGAGAATTTTCAAACTTCGCAATAAGCTGCCATACGGGGATATCAGTGTTTCACAAACACATCTTGTTTAAAAGCGCAATTACTTTTGCATGGGTCACTGTGTTAACATGTATTAAATATGCAACTACGTATCTGTTCTTTTATTTCATAAACAATTCTCTGTCGGTTATCTTTCATTTTAAGCAATTTTAGCTTTTTATCCTCACAATATTGTGTAACTAGTGCTAAAATGGTGTCAGTAAATTACTGTCTCTAATTTTGCTCCTTAATTGTGTTCGTATTGAAATATGTCCTTTAAAGGTTAAATTGAAGTATTTGCGTATTTCAAAAAACGAAACAGTCGGAAAACTACAAACATTTCCTTAGTCAAAGAAATGACAAACCACTTAAAAGGCGGATGGAAAGAGAGCTAAAGTTGCAGCCATTGAAAGTAACACTTATAATACTGCAGCGTCCAAGATAACAATGGATGCCCTGTTGCTTTTGCGCGGATCGATGTAGTTTAGAAATCACGCAGCCTTCTTCAGCAAGATCGATCGACTGGATGTATTCATATTCCATTAGTTGTGTTTGATTTTTCTGTCTTTATGGCTTGATTTCTACATTGAAGAATATTTAATTGAAATCATTGACGGTAAGTTTTTTTTATTGCATACTGGTGTAAAAGGCCTCAATTTTGTCTGATTTTTTGTAATTTGTGACAGTGAATAGGAAAAATATAATGGTTACATGTATGTGGCAAATTTATAACAGGAAAGATTTCAGCAAAGAGCGTGCACAAGGAAGCAATAGCAGCAATATAGTTATTATGCTCTGATTAAAATTTATAAAATGAACATGATGAAATATTATTTTATATTTTAATGACAGAAAGCCTAGTAAATGTTTTGTGTTGATTTTTCTTAAATTACTCATATATTTGCGATCATTTTTAAAAAGTATTTTTTCAATATTTTCTATAAAGTCTCCAACACCACACCAACGAATGAAACTACTCGATTACTCTTTTAGTTTTTGAAACACAACTTTTCGTTGTTTAACATGAATGAACACATGCCTAAAGAGAGAGGAAAAAGTTTAACGTGAGTTATCTTCAATCAGTTTACATATTGATCACACTTTCGTTGAAGTATTTCAAATGTGACACAACACAGTAACATATTGACATATCAATTTTTCAAACTTTTCCTCGTGGATATAGGCCAATTTGAGGACATAAATGTGACTTGTAGAAGACTGATTGGGTAATATTTCCTTTAGTAATTATAAGCAATTAATACTAGCTCTTACTAAGATTATCATGGTGTCTCACCACGATTTCCGCAACTCTGAAAATATTGCTTCCTTTTCTTTTGTATGTCATTTGTATTTTCTTTTAAAGTCTCGTAAACGGAGAATTCGTATTCATTTTTATAATATATATACCGGTATAAAGGCAAGGAAAATATTTCCCTATCTCTTTTATTGTATAATTTTTTACCACGAGAACGACGATTAAACTAGAAGTATTGTGAGCACTGAGCTCACTAAATGACGGGAGGTATAATTGGTTTTACAATTGATAAATGCGATCATCTCATCACTGATTGTGATTTACACAAAGCAAAAATGAACCCGGAAACTCATCACAAGGCAATGAACATTGACCTCAATCAGGAGACAGCTGATTATATTCATTTATAATTTTATATATACGTGTATATCCCTGCTGAGTCTTAGAGTACAGTTTGAAGGGTAACCTGGGTTTCATGATTTCTTTGTTGTAAAGAATGAAGACAATAGATACATGAAGCATGTCGTATCTCTATGACATCAAACAAATAATCGTTAAAATTGTGAGTCCATGAAGCAGCACCAACTGTCTTTGTTTTGTTTAATCTGAAAGTAACAGCAATATTTAGTAAGTAGAATATTTAGAAACATTTAAAGGAAATTTAGAAATTTTCTGGTATTAATACTAGCAGAAAACTTGAACACGTTATTCATCATGTTGAAAGTACTTTGTAGTTTTTTAAATGTTTTTAAAACATTTTACGAAATATTTGAAAAAAGTTTTCCATTGTTTAAAATGTAACAATTTTGATATTTTATGTTTTCCTGGCGCGTAAAATATCAAAATCGTCAAAAAAAGCCTGGAAAACGTCAGATATTTTAGACTAAAAGAATATTGATATAAAATTTTACTTTTGACAAATGTCAACTCTTTAAGAAATACATGTAGATCATTATTTGAGACTTCGAATATACCCAGGAATTACGCACGAAATATATATACTACATGTAGTACCATAAAGTAAAGCTATCAGAGCAATGCCCTGTATTAATTGAGCCTCCTCTGATGGATGTATCCTTTCTAGCTTCCTAAAGATACAAATCATGAACTCTGTATATTAATACTGCAAATCCAGGATCTATAAAAGGAAATATACAACTAATCAGAACAATGACTTCTATTAAGTTGCCTTTGTTAAACCCTGTTCCTATACAATTAATTATTTGGTTGCCATACACCATACGACAATGATACATGTTCTTATTATAATAAAAAAAAATATCTCTTCAGAATTAAAGCAATGAAAGAATGCTAGTCATTATGTACATACTCAGTGAAGAGTACTCTAGAGGAAGAATATCTTGTTACAAGTTAGGAAAAAATTAATGTTTGTTTTAACAGTCCTTCGAGGACGTCAAAGAGACATCATCCAAGATGGAATTGGACAGTCTGGAGACAAGCAAGACAGGAAAACTGTACACAGAAGAGGCGGATCCAGAACAGTGAGTATACCGGGTATATAACGCACCAGATAACAAGACAGGGAAACGGTACACAGAAGAGGTGTTTGATCCTTTCAATTGAACAGTTGAGTATTAATTAAAGGTATATATGCTCACTATATAACAAGACAGGGAAACTGTACAATACAGAAGAGGCGGATTAAAAAAGTGATATATTTCCGGGTATGTATATATTCTTTTTTTTCTTCATAAACTAAATATTAGGAAAATCGCTCACCATATAACAAGGCAGGGAAACTGTACACCAGAGGAGGCGGATCAAGAACAGTGAGTATACCGGGTATATAGCTCACCATATAACAAGACAAAGAAGCTGTATATAGAAGAGGTGGATCAAGAACAGTAAATATTATATCGGGTATAACTCGCCATAGAACAAGACAGAGAAACTATGTACAGAAGAGGCGGATCAAGAACAGTGAGTATTATACAGTTTATATCTCTTACCAGGGAAACTGTAAACATGAGAGGCAGATCAAGAACAGAAAGCTGTATACCGGGTATAACTCACCATATAACAGGACAGGAAAATTGTGTACAGAAGAGGCGGATCAAAAACAGTAAGTATACCGGGTATAAGCCATAACAAGAAAGGGAAACTTTAAACTGTAGAGGCGGATCAAAAACAGTGAGAATTATACCGGGTTTAACTCACCATAGAACAAGACAGGGAAACTGTAAACTGAAGAGGCAGACCCAGAACAGTGGGTATAACAACTAGAATTTACCATATATCATATAAAAAAAAATCTCACAGTACTCTGAGTATAGGCGGATCAAGAAATGTGAGTATACCAGGTAGAACTCATCATACATCAAAACAGGGGGGGGGGGGGAAACGTTCAAAGAAGGGGCGGATCAGGCCGGATAAATTTATCATATGATAAGAATTTATCCGTTGCAAGTGCCTTTTCATAAATTTTTTCTGAAATTAATAAATAAATTCACATGACTGATGATAGAGATATGTAAAGAACATTATCTCATGTGCATGACTTGTTCAAATACAGGTTGAAAAAAACACATGTAATTGATATAAACTGGTACTTTAAATAATTATGTAACGTTTTCCTAAGTCGACATTTATTTTTACTTCAGCTGAGTAGTGCGGAGTAGTGAGTAGTGATTCATTTACACTACATGTAACGTAATGACTTCAGAAAGTCGGTCACATATGCTGTGTTTATCAGTGTACATTATGTTGCTATCTTGTATGCATCTTCAACTGCATTAAAAGTAGACGACTGTATTGTCATTCTATAGATACACAAAAGTCAGTAACCTGATCAACCAAATCAGAATCATTTATTTTATACTGACTATATACACTTTGATCATACGCTCAAAGCTCAAAATTCACTTTAAAAACTGCGTTTAAATACTTCTGTACATTAATTATATATATATATATATATATATATATATATATATATATATATATATATATATATATATATATATACACACACACACTACATGTGAACATTACACAAGTTGGCATTGTATAACTTATATAAACCACCATTTAACTTAAGGGTACACTAAATGTTTTCTGTATTCTTGTTTATTCCTCGTATCGAAATTTTCTTACACTGTGAAATAAAAAATTTTCGTGTGGGTTTAATTTTCGTTGTTTTCGAGGTATGACGAGACCCACGAATTCATGTCCACCACGAAATGGTAAATGTTACATATAGTATACATAAGTACTCATTAATTCTTGATTCACAAAATCAAATCCCCACGAACCAAGAGATTTTCTTCAAACCACGAAAATCTGACCCCACGAAAATATGTGATTTTACAATTGAAATGAACCATACCTTAAACTCAGTTGATAGTTCTTTTTTTAATAATTTAATTAATGTTTTCATTTAAAATATAGTTCCACAGCAGACCATGAGGATATTTTAAAGGAGGAGAGCGAACGACTTAGCAAGCCTCGAGTGTTCCTTCTGAACCTTTCCTGGTTTGGTCTCAGTCTTATGTTCCTGCTGCTGTCGGTAGAGGGTAAGCAACGTAAAACCTGTATTATATGTATAACTGTTAAAGTAATAAAACAAAACATTTTCTATGAAACTCGATTTTCAAGAAAAATAACCAAAAATCATTATATAATTTGTCAGTAAACCTTGTTTTTACAGGAAGAAAGGGGGTTACACTTTATTAATCAAGAATTAATTGCCTTATTTATAGCACATATTTATGAAATATATTCACTTTGCTGTGAATTTCTTTAGTTGTACCAGCTCAAATCCGCTCCTTGGTTGGAGAGACAGAGAAAGGAAGATGGCTGGGTGGGATGGTGGCAGTTGGAGCAGGTATGTAAAACTTTACTTAAACTTTAGGTATCTGAATGAATAAAAATAAGTATCTGATAACGTAGTGACAGTTGAAGTTAAGTGATTGAATCTTAATGGATTCATTGATTCTAGCTATAGGTTAGAAATCGAAAGAAAAGAAAGTGTGATAAAGTCTGTTACACTTTATGAACACATTGACTAAAAAATAATTCAGGGAAACCTCGTGCATTGTTAATTAACTGAAAATAAGTGATTAAAAAGCGTGGGGTTATTTTGTTTTAAAGCAATGTCACATCAATATATGAAAATGCAGAAAATTGCATTCATGGCGAGATTTATTAAGATAAAAGAGAATGATGTATAGCTTGCACCATTAATAATTGACGAATCTGCGTAAATAAAGTCGCCTTTATAAACGATAGCTGGTGACGTTTTAATCAATATCCACATTTTATATTTCGAGTCAGAGTAATAATATCATCATGGTCACATTTCCAGATGTTACGTACATCTTTTCGTAAGCTTTTTTTTTTCAAATCACTTCAACATGAAAACCCTGTTATCAGTTTGACAGCTAATAAAAAGACGCTACACATTTTATTTACACTCTACTATGAACAAGTCTATAAAAACAACTGATTGATTTTCAAACGTCATTTACTAAAATCAGTTTGTTTAGTTTAATGTACAAAATTAATGTTCAAAGACCAAGGGCAAAAACTGCACTTTTTATTTACAGCAATCTTCACACTATGAAAATATAAAAGTGCGACAAGTGTTTTATAAAAACAACTGTCTTAATTTTGATTTTCAATTTCTTCTTCTTTTTTTTTTAATTCATATGTTTTCTATTTCTTTTAAACTGTGTTTTAAAATCAGTTTGTTTAAAACTAGTTTAATGTAAATAAAGACTTTATTATTATATATATATATAAAGATGATTTATTATCGATTTGTTTTGTATTTAAAAGCTTTTTTAAACATAAAAAATAAAAGCACAATATAGCTTATCCTGACTTACATGAAACTTATATCCGGTTTCTAAAGCTGGTGGCATGAGGAAATTTGGCGATTTGCTTGGTCAAATGTTTGCAAATACATTGTAATTTCGGTGGAACTTTATTTGGCTAGTACGAACTCTAGTTCCACGAGGTTGCAAACTTGTAGAATGATTTTTTCAGATTATCAGAAATGTGCTTCTGGTACCTCAGATATTTAAAATAACACCAAAAACATCTTTGTCAAATTATAAATAACATCTGTAATTGATTGAATACAGAATAAAATAACAATATTTTTTTTAAAATGGAAGGGTCAAAAGAAAGATATACTTGTATATATCTAATAACAAACCTAACTGATCTGTCATGCAATCAGAAGTGAGTAAGGTTTTAGTGAGGTACAGAAATAATAAAACCACGTAGATAAGCAAAAGTACTAGTAATCAAACCGCCAAACATTCGAACTATAGGGTACTTAAACATAAATATCACTACAGGATACTTCAAGAGTACTGTGCAACAATGTACTAGACAAGTGGTGTAAATGTGCAGATGTAGATACTAAAAAAATCCAAGGAACTTTTGGAACATTTGTAATCACAAAAGTTTACCTTGATCAACAACATAGAGCTTACAACTTTTTAACTTTATGTCATGTTGTAAATTTTGAATTTACCGGGTGGCAGTAAATACAAAATTTACAACATTTTGACTTTTCAAAATTTACTGTTATACAAGTCACCCGCGTGGCACAGTGGTTACATGTAGAGCGTCTCGTCTGGTCGCGAAGTGAGGAGTTGATCATTATATACGTCGCGGGTTCCAATCACACTGTGGGACATGGAGACCGGTCCTTTCGGATGAGACCGTATAAACCAAGGTTTCGTGTTGCAGTAGGTGCTGGTATGAAAAAGAACTCTCCACCGGCATGTGGTGGCGTCAGTATATGTGTGAAAAATTCTCGAGGGACTTTAAACATCATACAAACTAAACAGACAACTTTTATACAAGTATTCCCTACGATAAATTAAAGACAGGGCTTTCTGACATCATTGACAGCTTCTTTTTTCAATAAAAATGGAACATTAACCACCTTGTCATCGGTCATTTGCAAAATTACTTCGTAAAAAGATTCTGATTGTACACACAAGTACTTTAATGTTAATTTTATGAAGATGATTGAGTTTCTGATTGACAATATCTATGTGTTTTTTGGAAGTCTTCCAACAATCTTAAGTAACTCTTATGAGTACCAATTGCGCTTCGTTTTTAGTAGACCTATAATTGTATTCATCTGAAGCAGAAACGGTCCAAAATCTTTTACGTAAAAGAAAAAAACCACTTGCTGTGGCCTTCAACTCGACATTTTGATACTATATCGACGAGTTAAAAATAAATAAAAATGCCATAGAGTCTGATACATCTGTTTCACATTTGGATACCGATCTTTTACTAGAAAAAGATGTTAATGGTAATCTAATAACAAAACTGACGTGAATATTTTAACTTTTCCACTGTCAATTCCCCTTACTTATGCAGAAATGCGCCCTTGTCACCTGCATACGCTGTTTATATCACTCAGTTGATTTGTTGTGGAAGAACATTCTTTACGTAGATGAATAATTTTTAAAACGAGGTTATTGACAAACAATTTTATGAAAAAAGAATATAAGCAGTCTCGTTTAAAATCATCATTTCGTAAGATCTATGGTATATACAATGACTTTGTCAGCAAATACAATCTGCCATTGAGTCAAATGCTGATTGACGTTTTTTATACTAATTGTTAGGCCATTATTTGCACACTTTGTTGTCGATGGATATTTCCGTTATTTTCCGATCGTGGCAGGGAGCGCACTGTGGGTTTGGTCGGTCGGCAAGCGATGCTTACTCCTCCATGACACCTGGTCCCACCTCTGGTGTTTTGGAGGTCCATGTCTGCTCTGCTCCTAATTTGAAGTGTTTAATAGACCTTTAGGCTTGATTACATTTTGTTATCTTTACATATTTCATTAAACAAATTACACACACATACACGTTTCTATAGCTGAGATTTATGTATTTCAGCCCTGACCTTCTTTGCCAGCCCTTTGATTGGGATGGGAAGCGACCGTGTAACGTTAAAGGTTGGTAAAAGACGACCTGTCATGATGACTGGAACTGTCATCCTGTGGTAAGTACTGGATTGTGCTTCCATTGTCTTGTAAAGGAAGACATCCTATGTGGAATAGTGATATTCTTGTTAATGGCCATTAAAACATAAGGTTCTTATATGAGGCATAAAATTCAGTGTTTTTATGACACTCCTGTGCATCCTGTGATACCCACGGTATTTTTTTTCTTCTGAACATGGTTGACTCTGTTTCTTTACAGTATTGGTTTGATTGGGATGGCTCTGAGCTCTTCAAAATTATATCTCCCGTAAGTCAATTCAATAGACGTCGATATGGGCCTGATGATAGTTAAATATTTATGATATCATGTAGCTTTAATGGACCTCGTTGTTTGTTTCAGACGAAGAGACACTGGTTACAAAAACGGCACAGAAGAATCGGTATAAAATTTTGGGTTAATGTACATGTAGCACTAATTAATCACCCATTTCTTTAATCATATATTTAATTGTTGAATATTCAATCCTGCTGAATTCATTTTATTTCTCAATATCTGATTCTTCCCATTGTTTGTTTATATTTAGATATCTTCTATTTTTTTGAATAATTGTTTTTAGTGTCACAGTGATTTAGCAGTACAAAGGTGCCTTCCATACATAAATAAAACAATAAAGAACTTGCACGAGAGCACCATTTTGAAAGGGTCTCAGCCGGCGCCCATTTTGGTTCCAGAGAAAAAAGGTGAAATCATTGTGGAAAAGGACACCAAATCTGGAAGTCTTGGTAAATATATACACATTGATTGCCAATATTAATGCTTCATAGATTTCAATGTGTTTAAATCTAAAGAATTCTTGATGCCATGAATTCGCCTCCAAACTGAATTTATTTGTTCAGATGCATTTTAGAAATCTCTTTTACACGAAAATGTCGTATTACTCATTTGATGTTATATATATCATACAAGAGTAAAATCTGCACCTTTATGTTTGTCTATACACATCAATTAGATATTCTAATGAGGACACTGTTCCTTTGTCACTGGCTTGTTTTTATATATTTATATTAAGCAGAATAAAAAAAAACTGATCGTGAAAAAGAGAAAACTCTTGCTGAGGTCATCAACTCAATATTGAGATATACATGTACATCAAGTTTTATCAATAAACAATGGTTACTTTCATTCATTTGTCGACTTGGAATATCTCATTGAACTGGAAATCGAAGACACTGCAGAGTGTGCAACGCCAGTTTTATATTTTACTATTTTATCAAAAAGGCAAATTACTGGCAAAGAATTTAATGTTATAAGGATTTCAACAAACTGCTTTATAGCCGTTTGAAGCTAATTCTGCGCTAGTGCTGGGTCTTACGTGTATTTTACATGTTATGTCATTGCTTTTATACTAAATTTGACTATACATGTAGTATGCTCTGTCTACCTGTTTCATACATAGAGCTCACGTCGGGTATGACAGGTAAATAGATGATGTTTACTCCCCCTGGACACCGACCCCTCATCTAAAACACCTGGGGTCCGTGTCTTAAGCCCTCTTCACAGATTTGTTCGTGTCTTTTCTACAATCACTGTTCGTTATATTTATTTACTCGATTGGTGCATTGGTTAGAGCGTCTGTTTTTTAATCCTTACGTTGTGGGTTCGAATTCCACTGTCGCGAAGTAAGGAGTTAATCCTTACGTCGTGGGTTCGAATTCCACAGTGGGATGTGAAGACCGGTCCTTCGGATGAGACCGTAAAAAACGAGATCCCGTATCACAGTAGGTGCTGGCACGAACAAAATCCCTAAATTCTCAATGACCCAGAGTGCCGAGTATAGAACAAAATTTAAGGCTCTCCACCGGCAAATGCTGGCGTCTCTATATGAGTGAAAATTGCTCGAGAGGGACGTTAAATAACAAAAAAACTTTTCTATCGTCAACTTCCCTTACTTATGTAGCAATATACCTTCATGGTTAGCATATGGAGTTTATATATTTTAGTTAATTCGATACGCAAGAATATGCTCTACGTATGATGAATTTATAAAACGAGGTAAATTATTGATAAACAAATGGAAGAAACAAGAATATCTGCAGTCTCGTTTAAAGGCATCATTTTGTAAGTTCTGTGGTGATCAATGACCTTGTCAGCAAATACAATTCATCATTGAGTCAAATGCTGACTGACGTTTTTCATACTAATTGCTATTCCGTTATTTATACACCGAATAGACGACGGATTTTTCTGTTATTTCCCGACAAGGAGCAAACGGCGGGTGTGACCGGTCGGCAGGGGATGCTCACTCCTCCATGGCACCTGATCCCTCTTCCAATGTTTTGGATGTCCATATTTGTTCTGCTTCTATATTGTATTGTTTTATGGATTTTTGATCTTGAACGCTGTTCGTTATCTCCATATGTTTCAGAGACAAACAAATATATTCCTTTTAAAATATGTAGGAGGTCTTATTTTACAAAAGGCTAAATAGGAAGGCTTTTTATATGATATAACATTTGCCTAAATGTCTACTTTAATCAACGAGAGGGCAAGTATATATCACAAATAAGTAAACGCAATATAGGTCAATAAAAGACGAATGTTTAGCTAAGAAAAGGAATTGCATTTATAAACATGTAAAAGAAAGCAAGAAGGAAAGCAATTCACCTTTGTTTAAAACAGCAAAAAAAGAGAATAATACATACATGCATTTGAAGGATAGAAATACATGTATATTTCAAATCAGTCTTGTCTGCATAGCAGCTTATCAGCATATATCTAAACCATCATATCACAGTTTGAAATATTACACGTACAATAAAGATCAAAGAGTATTATGAAAATTGTAAAATAATTGACTAGGAACGCAGGAGGAAGGAGAAGGAAATGAATTCCAATAGAATGCTTCATTTGCCTCTGGTGATACATGTACACGTATCTTGATTTATTCTTCCATTATTTCGTGACAGTTGATAGAATAGTAACCATTTACAATCGTATTAGGTTTTCTATAGGATTTTCTAAAGAGATTAATCATGCTAGCATCTCATGTCGTGGACAATAATCAATCCTCACTATAGGAAAAAAATATGATACAAGAATAACAATGATTTTTTTTTCAGGTTTGTATATATTTTTCTACCTGATCGTCACATTGTCGTTTGCGATGATCACTGTCCCGTACAATGCTCTGATTGCAGACAAGTCTCACCACTCACAAAGGGGTAGGAATTTATGATCATATACGTATGTCGGTCTGCTAACTCCTCTTCAGCTAATAGATCCCCCATTAATCGTGTCGTTTTACTGATTTTTTTTAGGTTTTAATTCCGGGGTAATGGGATGTATGATCCTTATGGGCAACGTGAGTGGAGCAGCTGTAGGAATAGGGTTGTCGGTAAATGGGATTTATTTTACTAAATGCAAATATACTAATGAAGTATTAATTGAATAAATTAGCAAGAAGATCATGAGTTAATAAATCATATTTAACGGATGCACCTATATGTAAATTTAGTTATAAAGGACATGTTATTAGTAAAACAGTCATAAATATGCTGATTTGATAAATTAGATCTTCACGATTATATGTAAAATAAATTTATCAATGTAGCATATGTTTAAAGAGATCAGCAAAAGTTCATAATAGTCCTGAACTAATAAATAAAATCAGATTTAAGTATTTTTAAATACTCCAGGAAATGGGTGTTCTTGGAGCGTATGGAACAGCCATTGCAGTGGTAATGGTTAGTGTATGTATAACAGTCTTTACGACCACAGAAAAGCCTGGGAAACAAATAAACGAACCTATAGGTAAAAATGTCATTCCTTAAAATGTAGACAAAAATGATGAAGTAAGAGCACACCAAAATCAAAGTATCAAAAAGAAAATAAGTCAAAAATTAAGTTTTTTTCACCGTAAAATGATCACTTTTGTAGGATGTCTACAAATTTTCTGCGGATTTTGGGAACCATTGAAAGGTGAGGGTTTTTTTTTTACATACAAACCTTTGCTTCTTATTATTTTGAAGATTAAATAAACTTATTCATTATTTTAAATGCAAAATAGTTTGTTTGCTTAGAAAGGAAAACCATTAATTTAACAACGCATTATTCCAAAAAGATCTGTTCATTGCAAAAAAGATGCAGTACATAACCTGACACATAGACTCCAAAAATACCTTTATTTTATAGAGCATGATTTCAGATGGGTGTTCATTACCAGATTTTTAATGCAGCAAGGAGTTTCTACAGTAACGGGGTATGTATTTCATCTCATTTCATACATAAATCAATATTTTTACACATGAGGCTGGAAAGCAACTGATATTACATCATTATATATCTAAAAATATTACATCAAATGAATGAAATTTACATTAGTATATGAAGATATAAGAAATTGATAGAAGTTCTATAGTATCTGTCAACAGGTGCCAAGTTCTTTTTTTCCAGATTTTTAGAGTATTGGTTGTCTGATATGATACAGCTTCCAGACTGCTGGAATGCCGGAAGGGGCGTAGCCATAATGCTTTTACCAATGTTATTTGCAGCAGCTATAAGGTTTTTAAGAGTATACTTTTTTTCGGAATGAATGGAACTTGTTAATTGGCAAATGTTTAATATTTTGTTTTTATATAAACTTTAAGACCTTTTACTTCATTAATTTGAATGTGATCCATCATGAATATTATCATTATATAATATAACAAATATTCAAATATGCTACTTGAAATTGAACAGAAGAAGCTATATTTTAGCTCAGCATTATTTAACTTTCATATCTTGTGTAATCATTTCCTTGTAGCTCCATAATATTTGGCATTGTGTCCGATCGTTTACAAAGAAGAAAACCCATAGTAATTGCAGCTGGTAGGTACAGTGATGTCATATTGTAAATTTTGAATATACCGGGTGGCAGCTGTAAATTCAAAATTTACCACATGACAGTGAGAGGAAAACTTTATAAGTAAAAAAAAAATTAAAGAAACTACGGAATGTATGATTCATTAGTTAATTTTCGTCCCAAATAAAAACCATGAAGATAAAACTTTCTAACACCCCACCTCAATCATTTCAGCTTTGATTATGTGCATAAGTATATCAACACTAACATACATAAGTGGGTCTTCCGCATACTATGTGGCTGTTGTTATGGCTTTCTTCTTTGGTAAGTGTCAAATTTTTCCTACATTTTTTGACTTTAAAATGAAAACAAAAATTTGAAATATATCTGATAAAATCTCTTAATTTAAGACTTTAATTATCAACATTTGTTTTCAACGTATTTTCCTGGATATTTTGACAATGCAGGAATCGGATTTGGTTCATTCCAATCAGTAGATTTTGCCCTTGTCATGGATGTCCTTCCAGAAGAGAAGGACAAAGCTAAAGACATTGCAGTTTGGCATCTTGCCCTGATCCTGCCAAATGCGCTTGCCACGCCCGTAGGAGGACTAATTCTAGACTACTTTGAGAGTGTCAACTGTAAGATAGGCCTTGGGTACATAATACTTTTTGTTGTCACTACTGTTTACTTTCTACTTAGTGGTATATTCGTCACGCGAATTCAGCAAGCCAAATGATTTCTGTATTACCAGACAGTGAGAGAAATATAAATGAGAATTGTCAAGAAAATTGATATATATTTTTCAAAAGGTATTTGTCACAAAAAAACTGTCATTGCCCGTTCCTTATGTCGACCCCAGATGTATTTATATCCCATTGTTTTGTTATATTGTTGTTTATATTTTTGCTGAGACGTTAAATTATTATTTAGAATTTCACTTACAATTGTAATACCTCAGTGATAGTTGTTTCATCATTATGAAATAAAAATAATGTCCCTAATTATTTTTTTTCTGCAATACAGATTTTTATTTTTAGTGCCAGTAAATATATACAACTGCTATATTAGCATTCAATAACGATAAAATTCTTGACTTCTTCTTAGCTCACATGATATTAAAGCTTAAATAAGCTTTGTTTAACATTTTTTCCAGCATCCATCCGCCTACAACTATTTAGAAATTTTCTGCAAAAGCATGGGGCCATAGGAATTCAACCACACTTTGCAAATTGCATCCTTGGATAAAGTGTTTTCATATTTGTCATTGTCATCTTTTGAAAAGAGATATCCAAGAATTATTAAAAATTTAAGTATCTTCTCAAGAACCAATGGGCCAGGAAAAAGCTACATGTAAAACATGCAAAACCATCATATTGCATGCACAGTGGATTTTTTTTTTCATAACATGTACCCCAGGGCTAAAGTACGGCTAAAACGGGGGAAGCAAGTGGAACTTCTTCATAATCATATGTCAGTTTTGAATATCTCTAATACTCCCAACAACCAAAATGAAATTGAATTTCCGTATCTATATTGCATTCCGAAACTTCATTAAAACCTTTACAAACAAAAATACAAAGTGGGTTCCAGTAACTGTTTTACTTTAACCAAGCCTTTTTCATTACTTCTCACTAAAATATCAACAGCAGTGATGAAGAAACTTCAGGAGTACAGTTCAAAAGTATTTTCGAAAAGGGTGTACATGTAAATCAGATGTAAAAATAATGAAAAATTCAAAAGAACTTTTGAAATCTTGAATTTAAAGATACCAGTCTGACCATCTGTTTCATATTTGGATATTTTTACTAGAAAAAGGCCTTAATGATAATCTAACAATCAGTCCTTATGGTAAATGTTATGACTAGCTTTTCTATCGTCAACTTCTTTTACTTATACAGCTATATACCGTCATCACCTGCATACGGGGTTTATGGATCTTTCAGTTGATTTTATACCCGAGAACAATTTCTAAAACTAGAATAGTTGATAACTATCAAGTTGATGAAACAAGAGAATACAACGAACGTGTACTATGTATTGTTTTAAGTAATTTTTTCTTAAGTTCTATGGTCGATACAATGAACTTGTCAGCAAATACAATTTATCATTAAGTCAGATGCGGACAGACAGTTTTAATTCAAAATTCTTTACATACAAAATTGTCAACAGACTTGTCCGTTATTTCCTAAGCATTAAAAGGAGCACATTTATAATTGGCATGGAGTCAGATCCATGGTACTTGATCCCACTTCTAATGTTTAATTCAAATTTTAAATAGGTAATTCTTTTTTCAAAATTAACAAAGCCATGACTAGATATATTAAATAAGAAACATCCTCATATAGTGCAATCCCTACCATTTAGCCACAACAGAGGAACAAAGTTTAATATATGAATACATTCAGATAAAAAAAATCATCTAAAGAACAGCAGAATAGCAAAAGCACTATAAGGCATTGGAAATTTTTCGCGAGGAACATGTACAATGGATTTTTATATTTTTCAGAAAGCCATTATTTATCAGATTTATATGGCAGCATCCTCAGGTAGTTTATATTTTAATTTGTTCATGACTGCTGGAGTAATGTGGTATTAAATTACCTGTTAAAGATAAAAGTTTTGCTTGCAAAGGAATGAATATCAAGCGGGAAAATCTGCATATGAAGAGCAAGACCATAGTTATTCAAGTGGTCAATGTGGTTCCTGGGTCTCTTGTGGTTATGGAAATAAAAGAACCAATGACCAAGAAACTATATTTAAACTATTTTATCAAAAACAATTCACATGAATTTCACCGGGTGTTACATAACAATCTTACAGATTAGTTCATGTTTTGACCAAGCCAGCTGACATAGTTAACTACTCTGGTGTATACTCCTGGTTTGAAGGCTTCAGCACAGCCGAATCCCCAGCTAGTGATTCCTGTTCATAATTAAATACACAGAAATATATAAAAGTTTACATGATCACATAAAATAATTAAACAATTGAGAAGATTAAATGTACTGAAATGTTAATCTATGTAATTTTATTTTTCCCTAGGGGTAAGAAGGTACGCAACACGATATTTTTCTCTAGAAATTTATATTGAAGTATTGCTACTTAATCACCTTTCCTCACAAAAAAATTGTGGTACATTTCCAGGTGTTTGTACGAGATACCAAAATTTGTTTCCTTCATAAAAATTTTGGAAATCGCTTGAATTGCCAAATGAGCAATTATTGATGATATAATTTTAAACATTATTTTCAATCCGGTTAAGGGATAGTAAGATAATAATAATAATTTAATGCCAGTAATTTTTATATTATTCGAAAAAGAGTTTTAAAAAATCAGATGAGGAATTGCGAAGAAAAGCAATATCAAACCGGACATCAAAGCATATGTTCTCATTATAGAAGTTTTAGAAATTGATTGTTTGAAAATACCTGTGAGTTGCCATACTCCTCCAGAACTACAAACCAATGGCCCACCACTATCTCCCTACAAATGAAAATATTACAGAAATATATGAATAAAAATTGAAATAAAATGTAGAATAAAGTTCACATGCATAACTTGAGCACAAAAGAGTGCAAAATGCATATCCAATACTATTCTGCAACTTTTGAAAAGTAAGTACTAAGTTGTGGAGGCATTTTTGGATGTACAGTATAAGTGCTTAATTATGCATGTACTATTGTTGTAAAATTGCTACCTGACAAGAGTCTTTTCCACCTTGTTCATATCCAGCACAAATCATGGTTGTTGTGTCCATGTTTCTGCCGTAGTAGTCACGACTGGCACATGTTGACTGACTTATAATAGGTACCGTTACCTGTCTAAGAACTGAACTAGAACCAGTACCTAGAAATATATCACCACATTTGAATTCAATTCTGTATTCAACTGTATATATTTACAAATGGAGGTAAGTTTCATCATTAATCATATTTGGATTTAAAAGGATAAATTGATGCGAGTTTAATTTTAAAATTTCATTTAAAGGTTCATATGAACCTTGAGTATCTCCCCAGCCAGTTGTTATACAATTTGTTCCAGCGGCCACATCGAGTTGACTCACACAAACAGGACTGACGTAGTCGTTGATCTGTGCTGCTGAGCTCAGCTCCATCAATGCGATATCGTTGCTGATTTTGGAGCTACTGTAACTGCGGTGGCTTATGATGGCCCTAACGTTCAGATTCTGTTCTGTAGTCTCTGTTCTAGTTCTGTCATGTTTACCTAGTCGAACCCGCCATCTGGAAGCTGTTGCCATAGCACTACAAGAATAAAGTAAGTCTCAATTGCACCCGCTTAAGGATTTTTAGCTTGTATTGTCAAAAGAAAATTAAACATTTTTACATGTATTTGCCAATTACAGTATTTTTCCGTTACATGCGTAACTCAAGCATTAGTGGTAAGTGAACAAACGTATTTTTACTCCAAGGATGTGATTAATATATTTCCTGCATACAACGATCAATTCAATGCAAGATTATATTCTAGACAATCTACTTTTACATCGAACTTAATCATTTTTATCAACGACATACATTTGATTGTATGTTACAAACGTGCATTCCATTTTTCACTCCAAGGATGCCTACCAAAATATATAGGAAATGTTTTCCTTTACTAAGCACTAGCGCCATTTTGAAGTGAGAACCAATTAAATCAAAGCCAAGTTATATACTAGATAAACTAATAGTATTTTATCAATGGATTTAAACATGGTTTAATCTTCTTCCTAGGTTGAATTTGTTAATCAGAAGTATTTTTTATTACCATCCATGGCCAGCTGTTAGCACGAGCTTCAGTTCCACCAACAATGTATGAGACAGCAGGACTGACACGAGTACTTCCACATCCTGCCTGATTAATGGATTGTAAAACCGCTGTCAGGTCTGTCTGGCTAACCTCGGTATGTGAATGTTGCCCGTTGTGAGGCTTTCTGTGTGGCTTAGCTACAAAACGGCACATAATTCTTATGTAGCATAAAGTTTAACTAACCTTACTTATAATTATACAACTTTTTGAAGATGAGAATTGCTGTTAAAAAACGGTATTGTATTCGGTCAAAAAAAATTTTTTTAAAAAAACACTACACGCCTTTTTATTCATTCAATTTGCGATGTTTTTCAGGAAAATACTGGTTTAGCAAAATTCAGAAAAAATAATTTTATTCTCAATTAAAGAAGTTTTACTCTGAATTACAATTTGATTTTCAATGCCAAAATTAACAGTTCTGATGACCATTGGTTTGAAAACGGAGAATGTAACTTTTTTCGACAAGGTCAACAATAAACATTCAAGATGGCACAAACAATTAAATATATTAAGCTATATATAATTTACTATATCTTATGCTGATTAAACATATTTTTTTTAATTTCATTTTCAGGAAATGTCCTTTTAAGAGTTTCAGACTGTCGTAATTTTATGCCTTACCAGTGACTAAGCAGACGATAGTGAGAACTACTGCTACCTTCAACATGTTGAGGAGGACTGATTCCCAGACATGGTCACAGCAAGTTTTGTCGGATTAAATATTGTCGGAGTCATTCCAGATTCGTGGTATGATTATTCAATTTAAGAATACAGATATACTATGGCTAAGTACAAGGGATCTTAAATGCCTTTCCTTAGACCAATGCATGCGAGACCCATTCAAGAATGCAAATCTTAGATTTTACTGTTTTGCTTTACCTTTCTTTTCGAGATCTATGTCTTAAACAAATCTGAATTGTAGTTAATATATATACTGTTAAGGAATTTTCATGATATATGTAATTTTAAGGCGGTCAAGGTAGAATATAGTATTTATGCTAAATCGTGTCCCTCGTGTTTAATGAAATAAGCTATGCATTTTGATAATAAATATACATGTACAAGGTCAAACTATTTACAAAGTATTACCTCGGTTATCGTCATCAACCAGTGATACGTCATTGATCCATAATTGAAATTGTGTCAATGTTTAAGTTGTCACTATTTACCATATTGATTTTAACAATAGATTGATTAGAAAAAGAAGGGATTAAAACGAAAGAATAAGCATTCGCTGAGCAACTTGGAATGACCTTTTTTGTTTGAAACCTTAAAATAGAACAAAACCAGATTGAAGTTCTCCACTTGAAATTGATCGTAAGAAAATAATAATTAGATAATTTAAAGTTTTGAAATCAAGCAACAGTTTCCATATTTTTAAGTTAAATATACTTAGTATTCTTACCATATGGTGTTTATTTCTCAGCTTATTTGCTAAGTAGGAGCAATTTTTTAAACCGAAGAAGGCTATTCACGTATTAGATGATGATTTAGGGATTTCAACAAATTTTGTGCTGAAAATTTCATAATTCTTCTTCTATTTATTTGGTTCAGTACCATTAGAGACGCAAGTTATTTTAACTGGTTATAATTCATATGAAACATCCAAAGCGAATTTATTTACGTATTCTTGCTCTATTTTTGTACACGAGAAACCTTAAATAAAATAACGTTCATTTAAAAAAAAAAACCCATTTTTGTTTGACTTATATTTGTGAATAGTATGTTTGTTTTGCTGGGGCAGGAGTTTACAAAGCAATTCTTATGTTGAAAAATTTAAAATTACTTGATACAGCATAAAGTTATCTCAAGAATTTCCAGAGGTTAGGGTGTGCGTGTGTATGTGTATGTGTGTTTTTGATAATTGTGATTTTTTTTTACATTCAGCTTTCTTTTGTGACATATATTCTTGAATATGTTCTAGAGATTCTAGAGAAATATTATCTATTAAATTTAATCGAATGCTGCTCAAATACTAAAGTAAGAATGTGTTCTATATACTTATAGTAGACGGAGCTCTGAAAAAAAAAAATTAAAGAAATTATCAGTATGAAAAAAGTACTAGTCAATAAGCATTTCATTTAATAAATAATTGTATTTGTCGACAAGGCCATTGTATCGACCAAAGTACTTACGGATTGATGACTTTAAAACAGACTGCTGATATTCTTGTTTCGGCAACTTGTTTTTAGAGCATGTTCTTGTGTATCGAATCAACTGAGTTATATATACTTCGTATGCAGATGATGAAGGTTTATTGCTGCATAAATAAGGTAAGTTAACGACTGAAATATTAAAGTCATCTCATTTGCCATAAATCTTGCTTGTTAGATTACCATTCACTTCTTTTTCAAGTAAAATATCTAAATATGAAACAAATGTGTCATACTCTGTGGTATCTTTAATTTCAAGTTCACTGGGATATATCGTATCGACATAAGAAGGAAATAACCATTGTTAATTGACAATACGTCGTCGATATATCTAATTGCTGAGTTGGAGGCTACAGCAAATGTTTTCTTCTTTTCACGTACAAGTCTTCGGACAAATTCCTCTTCATATGTACACAAATAAGGTCTGCAAATAACGGGGCGCAATTGGTACCGAAGGGAATTCCAATATATTGTTGGCAGACTTGGTCTCCAACTCCAAGGACCACACAGATATTGTCTATCAGAAACTCAAGCATCTTTTTCAATATCAACTTCAGAATATTTGTATGTACAATAAGATTTTTTTAACAAAATAATTTTGCAAATAACCAATGAGAAGGTAAGTAAATTTACGAGTCCCATTTTGAAAAAAATACCTGTCAATAATGTCAGAAGCCCTGGACTTTTATTTATCGTGGGTAAAGGTTGTATAAGAATTGAAAAGTCGTAAGTTTTTATGTATCCACATCTGACTTAGAATATATTGTTGCACAGTACTCCTGAAATTTCTCCTTGACTACTGTTAATATTTCAATGAGGAGTAAAGAAAGTGGTTTGGTAGAACATTTACTGGAACCCGTTATGTATCTTTTTTTTTAAAAAAAAAGATTTGTATGAAGTTTTGGAATCCAGTATAGATGTGGTAATTCAAATTCATTCTGGTTGTTATAGGAATATTAATAATATTCAAAACTGACAAGTGATTTTGAAGAATTTCCTTCTTAGAAAGGCAGCTATGGGTATAAGTTGGATTACCACAAGTAGAATTAAATCCCAGTTCCTCTAAAATATAATTTAAATAAACAAAGACAATGTTGTAACCTGTTCTGTTAGCAGAGAACAGTACATAGTGAGTGTATTCTATCTTATTATTTTTCTTCTGAATTAATGAACACAGAGGGATACTTGGTTTTCATTTTTCCCCTCAATCGCCTAATGCGAGGTTTAACATGCATCTGATACATATACTCAAGTTATGGTTCTTTTGAACTTTTTATTCGTTAGCATTGAATGAATATTGAGTGTTAGTCTATATATTACACAAAATAAAACCGATTCCCCTTCTTGTCTTTGAAATTAATGACATGAATAACAAACTTTTTATAAAAATAACTTTTTTAATTATCAACAGAATGTTCAACAAAAGTAGAAAGAGCACAATTGCTTACAATACTTTCAATATGAAAAACATAAATATAGATTTTATTACATGTATTTAAATTCTCACCCTGTCAAAATCCCTCAGTATCTTCAAATTCAGTGAAAATAATATCTATCTTAAGTATACTGTGTTATTTTGCCTTTAAAAAGACCTAGAACAGATAATACTGAATATCAATTTCAAAAAGGGAAAAAAATCCAAGAGAGACAGATTCAGATATTCTGTTTGAATTAGCAGTGAATAGTGATATAAAGATGTGATACTAAGTTCCAAAATACGGAAAATATGTCTTGTACATTTCTGCCTTCTCTTTGATCCATGTGAGATATATGGTGACGTCAGTGTATATTCCAGGAGAGCGGGGATGTCCACATCCATAACCCCAGCTTGTGATACCTAGAATTTAAAACAGAGAAAAATAATTACTTATCTTTTAAAATGTTTTGATATTTTTGATACACCATATTTTTCTTTTTACATAATTTATACCATTAAGTACGTTTGAAAATTCTTACCAACTTGTACCCAATATCCATTATGATCCTGTATAATAAACGGACCCCCACTGTCGCCCTAGAAAATATACATGTAGGAAGTGCTCACTCAAAGTTACATGCAGAAAATTAAGTATTACCTTGACATGTAAAAATATAATTCATTGGAGGAGAAAAATATTTTGAAAAAAAAATTGTCAAAATCTTCCGTCTTCATTACACTAATAATCTGTTTCATATTTTTGCCCACGCGTACAATTAGAGAGGAATTTGAAGTAATGGTATTATAACTTTGATTTTTAAACCTGTCTTTAAAATAAAAAATTTTTTTAAAAAAAGCATACATGAAGTTATATTTTTGTCTCTGAAACTGCAATTTTTGAAACCTTATACTTTAATGAATGTGACAAAATGATTATAAGCTATGCAAAAATCCTCATTTCTATTTCATTTGTCTCGTTCATGAATGTGTCAAATATACATGTCTCTATAACAATTGGTTTAACAATAACGTTTACAAACTTACAATACATGCATCCTTGCCTCCTTGTTCATACCCAGCACAGAAAGTAGTTTGGGGTAGGAAGGCACTCCCATACCACGTGTGTGCACCACAGACACGATCACTCAGAATGGGTATGGATACTTGGTTCAGCACATACTTTGGATTAGGCTCTACATTTCAGTGAGTACATTTCATTTTTGATAGCTTTTAAATACATATACTTGAAGAACAACCGGATTCAGAATACATGATTGTTGGACATGTACATAATTATGACTAGCAAATTTACATGGTTAGATAATTAAATTTTAACCTAACGGGTTCATGTTTCGTGACATTAAAATCTTTAACAAATCTGATCATATGTACAAGTACTTTATATTTATTATCATAAATTAGTTTTTTTTACTGCATAAGTGGCAGTGTACAAAAGAAAATCCTATCACTTCATAAATAATATACACAGTTAAAGAGAACACTTCTCATAGATGTGAAAAATTTAAATCATTTTTTTTCAAAGATGAAAGACGATCAAGAAAGTCAAATATATTCAATCAAATATATAATAATATGCTTAACTCTAAATATCTAATGTTTACAAAGTTAAGCAAAAGATGCTCAAATCAGTTACCGTGCGTTTCTCCCCAGCCCGCAACAATACCAACAATACTAGTATGTGAATGAGAGTGATGCGAGGGGAAGCTACTCAAGGGAGCTCCTGGCAGACATACTGGCATGACGTAACTATTGAACATCACGTGATTGTCTAATACGAGTATGGCAATGTCATTCCTCACCGTGTGATTGTCGTATCCTTCATGCATAATGATTCGATTAATAGTGTGAGTTTGCTGAGTTAAGTCTGTGTATAAAAGATGGTGCTTTCCAACAATTGCACGCCATCTCTTAGGATCCAAACTCCCATGACTTAAGAAGGAACACAAAAATTGAATAAAAAAAGAATTGTAGTTAAATGTCTAGAATGAAGAATTTTTTTAAGATGTGTATTTTATTTTTATTTTTTCTAGAATTTTCATTTCTGTTTGCTAAGCTTTTAAGAATACACAGTTGCATTCCCTCAAGAAATTTCACTTATTTACGAACGAACAATTTCTGAAACGAGGTAAGCTATTGAGAAACAAGGTGATGAAACAGGTAAATCAACAGCCTCGATTAAACTTAAAGTCACCATTTCGCAATTTTTTATGTCGATGCAATGACCTGTCAGCAAATATAATACGCCATTGGATGAATACTGACTGCCGTTATCATACCAACTTTTAGGCCTTTATTTACACACCGAATTGTCAACAGATTTTTACGTTTGCCCGATCATGGCAATGTGCACTAGCGGATTGACCAATGCACTAAGGAAGCTTACTCCTCCGTGGCCCCTGATCCCACCTCTTATATTTTTGGAGGTCAATGTTGGCTCTGCTCCTGATTTGTATTGTTTCAATGGACCTATATATATGAGCTTGTTTACTGTTTTCGAAATCTCAATATTTCACTTCAAAAACTTTAATAAAATCATACTCTTCGAAGCAATGGGCTGCCGTAAGAACAAGTTTGTCTGAAATGATCGATCCTCCACACACTTGAGCACCATTCTCTGTCAGCATCACCTTAAAAATTACACAGTCTTAATAGATGTTAAATGTTTTATTTCAAGGTCAAATTTCAATTATCAAAAATATTCTGTTTTAAAATATCATTTTTATTGTGTGAAATCGATGCATGTATATGAACAAAAAATCTTTGTTTAATGCCATGTTTATTGTCTGAAATCGATTTATACATATATGTCTTTTATTTTGCAAAATTACAAAGATTCTAGAGTTATTTAAGCAATATATAGAGTTTTTAACATTAATTTATTTTAGTTACTGACCATCCATGGTAATGTTCCTATCAGAGCCTCCTCTCCCCCAATCACTCGGTTGATGTGGTTGTTATGGTGCTGTTTGGGAGGTCTATAAGGGCGGCCACAGGGGACGCAGTATGTTGGATCCGCTGTAAAACATTGGATAAGTTTCATAAAATTTAATATGTAACATTAATGTTTTTCTGAATAATACATGCAAGCCTGTGAAATGCACAACGTCAATAACATGAATAAACTTGATTTATTTTTTTAAAAAAATATATATCCCTCTTTTATGAAAGAGGGCCAGATCAAGTCGAAAACAGTGGAAGAACTTTAAATACTTTATGTTCCAATTTTGAAGCACGTTATATTTTTGTATCAGACCTGCATGTTTTGATCTGCATATACCTATTTTTACACTTACTCCAAGATGATATCTGCACTCATACAACAAAAACAAAAGATACAAAATTTACATGTTGAAATATTAAAAGCTAAACTGGAGCAGAATGAATAACTGAAAATGATAACACCGGTGATTAAAATTCGAAATATTGATATTTATTGATCGAGATCTCCATTTTGCTAAATAGTTTGAAAAAAAAACTTAAAAGACCAAACCAAATACTTTATATAAATTTGCAAATGCTTTCGTTATGCAATTGAAAGAGGGGGTGCGTTTAAATTAATGATTTAAAAATAATTGAACTAGTAAAACTTGCACAGTATTTCAGAAAAAAAAATGTTTTTGATTTGGATCATACCTTGATGAAGAAGCACAAAACAACACAACAACCAACGCATGAGGAAAATCATTGCCTTTCGTGATTTCCGGTTCCCTTTCCCCATGAATGGGTCACGAAAGCATAGATAAGAACAAGGTGGCCTTTTATTAGAACTCTATATATACTCTACATATACTTGTAGGAATTTGCGTTGTAAATATTTATATAAAACTTATCTAGATATTGTTTTATTATTACATTTGTATTCAGATAAAACATTGATAATTTTTTAAATGTTAGAACAAAAATATGATTGTCTTTATATGATAGTTTTGTATGTGTTATTAACTGAAAATTATAAACATTTGTTAGAGAATCAAAACCTATACGCTAAATTGACCTTGACAAGAAGATACTCTCTCTTGGACGGAATTTCACCTTGAGAAATAATAACCACGAAAAGTAGAAAGACTATTAAAGTACATCATGTATTAATAGGCCTTCGTTTTGACATAAAATTGGGAGGGTATTAAAACTAAATGCTATACGAGGGTTGTCCCAAAAAGTCGTAGACAATCTTTATAATTTTTTAATCATGCAACTAATACTTACCAAATTTTGCAAAGACATAATATATTCAATGTTCTTTAAAATTGTGAATTTTTATATTCATATCTTTCATATTAATAATATTAGGACGATTTATATGAAGGCCGATAAGGCCTGTCGGCGCACGGACAAAATTCGGAATAATTTACGCATATAACTATTACAATTGCTTTCATTTCTTTCATACTATATCATACTTTGAACTCAAATTTAAACCACTGAAACCAGAATAAAAATTTTAATATTATGTCAAAATTTCATATATATATCATTAAAAACAGACGATTGGTGTCATGATTTTCATAGTATCGTTGAAATTGAGTTTGATGAAAATGACGTCGTCGAACGCGTAGTCGGCGCACGGAGATGTAATAAATTGTGTTGGATATGGTTAATATACATCGGAGACGGGAAAAAAGAGTACAGAAGTGACATTACACACCAGATTTTAATAAAAAAGTTATTTTTAAATTGCACGATATTCAATAAGAGTTTTTCTTCTGTATCGAAAATAGTTTATTACAGCATGTAAAAAGTAGAGTGCTGTTTGTTAAACGCAGACAATTGGGGACAATCTGGACAGCGAACGACGTCAAACAATTTGTTTTCTCTGCTGCCTACAATGTAAGGCGATCTTCGACTAAATTTCGACTGAGTTTTGAATCTGGTTAAAAAACAAGTAAAAACACAAACGGACAGCGGTGGATTTAAATATGCCCGTTAATCAAGCGTGGTCTAATCACTTAAAAAATTTTTAAATGTTATTACCCACTAGTGAAGCAGCAATCGAGTTCATGACGTTATAAGAGGCGTAATTTACGCTTGCTTTCGTGCGCCGGTGTACACTTATATTCTTTCTTTATTTTTTCATAATTTTCTTATAAGATGTGATATCATCATGAAACTTGAAGTGCATAATCATAAAATGTTACTCTTTGCAATGACGAGGGAAGAAATTTAATAAAGCAAAGAGAAACAAAACTGTTTTACCTGTCTACGATTTTTTGGGACAACCCTCGTATGTCCCCAACTCAACGACAAAAAAGAAAGAAAGAAAAGAAATGCACGTTTGTTTTCAATTGTAAAGAATGCACAAATGTGTATTTAATAGAAGCTTATAAATATTTGCCATATTCAATCTTTTGCCATTACAGTGAGCTGAAAATTAATTGTCAAAAAGCAAAGTCCCTTTCTCTGCTTTGTTCGATAGGCAGTCCAGAGTCTAGCTGAAAATGTAATGTTTTTGTTTGTTTAATTGTTTTGGTAATGTTTTGCACAATCATATCACATTATATTACGTATGTATATGTACAATGGCATATATAAGGTTAATTCAATGAATAGGCTAAAAAAGTGGAATTAAGGTGTTTCTTCAGCTTAAAACTGAATGATGAACATGATTTGGATTTTTGTACATGTATGAATGGTTGAAAAAACTGAAGTTAAGGTCAGACGAGACGTTCCTCAATATCTGTTTTGTATATCTTTGTAATATATGAAAAATATTCGAAATTTTAATCACATTCTGCTTTCTAAACCAGTTTCTAAATGTCTTTTATAAATCCAGACACTTAAACATATCAAATTAGAAAATTATTTTTCTTCCTAAAAGGATTATATAAGAAAAACTGCCCCTGGTATCTTGCAGAAATGCCTGGTAAGGTACATCAATTTTTTGTGAGTAAACATGTTTAAGTAGCAATACTTCAATGACAAACTCTTGGAAAATTTTATCTGTTATTTAGGAACGTCTCGTCTGTCCTTAACAACAGCGCCTGATCAATCGTGTAACTTTGCTTTTTTAATTTAAAGGTAGGGTACACTTGTAAAGAGGAAATTCAGGAAAAATAATTTTAGTATATTTCATACATTTTTTTTTTTTTTTTTTTTTGTAAATATAATATATATTAATATGCACGGAATGTCTACTTTTAAAACGAATGCAACTTTTGCGCAATAAAATAAACAGACCGAGTCAGCTATCCAAGAAAAAAAAATACAGAATACAATTTGAATAAAAAAAATACATAACAAATTGAAATTTATACGAAGCATTGAAAATTGACATGAACAATACAAATGGTTATAGAATGTAAATCGTTATATTTATAGAATGCAAAAATTAAAGCAAAATAGAGATCGAATGCAAATGGAAACTGGTGCAAACCTTATAAATTTATAAATCTACAAATGAAACATTAATTACGACAAAAACGGAAAATTAAAGACTTCAAATGAAATTATAGAATACAAATGGAAAATTTAACAATATAAATGGAAAAGTTCAAATTTGCAAACTTCGACATGTCATGTGCTTTATACAAAGAAACAGTTTACAGCTTCACTTGATCAATTATGATTTTAAAAAAGTACATGCATTGCAAATTAAGGCCTTAATTTTTCCACAGGAGTTCGCCAGCGGAGTCCCGTGATTTTTCCACCGAAATTGCGGTCAGGGGAATAACTTTTCGAAGTCACAGTACTAGTGTTGATTCAACATTTTATCATCACTCCAGTTCCAGTCTATTTTATATTTATCGAATATAGAGGATACATGTTTGCATAAGTTCACTCGAGCCGTTGTTATAGAGAGAGAGAGAGAGAGAGAGAGAGAGAGAGAGAGAGAGAGAGAGAGAGAGAGAGAGAGAGAGAGAGAGAGAATCTACTCCACCTTTGAAAGTTTGATTTACCCTTATGAATATTCATATTGGTTTATTCATGCTGTTTCCCAAATAATTATATTAATAACCTAATTATGTATATAATGCATATGTACACATTATTTAATTTATAGTAATACCACCAAAAAATTACACTTACATTATTTTTACGATTTCATGGTTTGTATTTTCGCGGCAAGTGCAATCTTTTTAAGTCGGCCTTGACCTTTACAGATGTAAACAAGAAAGAGGCGAGAGGCGAGCAGAAGTTGTGTCACAGAGTAGTAAATCAAATGTTTTGATGAACAGGTTGTAATAATTGTGAATTTAGAGCAATTAATAAAAAGTAAGATTTTTATGTACATTTTATGTATATAATGTTTATAAAGTATGATATTGTAGTATGAATACCATGTTCCATATAAATGTGACCTTTTGAAGTAATGTGTGTGAACACTGAACATAATGTAAATAGGTAAAGTGCATCGTGCATATTAAAAAAAAACTATTTACTTTTTTGTTACTCGTAAAATAGACAAAAGAAGGTAAGATAAACTGATAAATGGATGTATATTCGCCAAAATGTATTGATGTGTTTGTGAAATTAAAGTATGATTAAAATTAATAAAAATATTATGATAAATTGCTGAATTCTTTTTCCTTTGGACTGTTATAGATGGTGTCCTCGATGTATCACACAATGTGGTCACTTCTGAGAGAAACACTGTTGGTCGGTGTGCTGTTTTTGGTTTTGTGGTACATGTACAAACTGTTCTTAGCTCCATTGTTTTCTCCACTAAGAAAGGTTTGCAAATGTTATATTTTTAATTTATCATTTAATTTCTATACTTTATTTTGCAATTGTTTTGTGCATGATGATGAAGAGATGCAAAGATGAAAATTTACATAGCTTAAGCATATTTTTTTTACTTTTTTTCCAAATATCAAAACCCTTCATTATAAAATAATGTACCATATATAGAAAATATGTAATTTGCAATTCTGCATGAATAATTTTTTTTATTAAATTCATATTTCACATTGTTAATCCAGATTTAATGTGGCAATAAATAATGTTATTAGCAGAGAAAGTAATTTTTATTCTGTTTACTAGTTTTGAAGCAGTTGTGTGCAAAATAGCAGAATAATTCAGTTTTTCATTAAGTGCAATATTTTCTTTTTATAGATACCAGGATGCCCATACATTCCGCTGGTAGGGAACATGCTAGAGGCTCGTAAAGCTGAACCAATGACCAATACAATCAGGCGAGTGAAGCAGCACAATTATAAATTAACATAATACTTGTGTTTTACTCATAATTAAAGGCACTTACTATGTGGACCCTATCCTTTTGCCTCTATGACTAGGAAAGATTATTCTAAGGGAATAACAATGTACATGCATGTAAGATCATGAGAGCAATTAACTGAGAGAATAACGAAGAATGTGTGCAATAATTTAGTGATGAGGGAGAGACAAATTTTGCAAGGGACAGTGTTAATCTGACACACACACCCACCACCACCCCCAACTTTACTTTCTTCCAATAGATACTTATCTTTTGCATTATCAACCTTTTCCCATTTATTTAACTGGCATTATTGTTTTCAAAGTATCCCTCAGTTACTATAATTGTTGTCCTGCTCCTTGACCTTCTTGGCTTCTCTCCTTCACATTGTTTCCTTCACTCCAGTCCTTTGTAATAACCCCACCCTCACCCCCACCCCCACCCCCAAGTGCTCTTGTTGTTGCTCTTAAAGTGTTATTGATGCATTTAAATCTGTGTTCCTTGTTTTGTTGCCCTTGCATTCTGGTGCTCATGGATCATCTATCCCTTATTCTGATGAAAGGCAGCAAATAGTCCAAACATTTACTCATATTTCTGTATAATTTTGATTACCTGAAAACAGTGCATGTAAAATATATAGTTTTACGTATGTACAAATAAAAGCTATTGATTTTAGGAAAGACTGCTACATGTAATACACTTGTAATGAATTCAGTAGTATTTTTTAGCTCACCTGAGTCGAAAGCTCAAGTGAGCTTTTCTGATCAAAATTTGTCTGTTGTCTGTCGTTGTCATCGTTGTCGTTAACTTTTCACATTTTCATCTTCTTCTCAAGAACCACTGGGCCAATTTCAACCAAACTTGCTACAAAGTATCCTTGGGTGAAGGGGATTCAAGTTTGTTCAAAGAAGGGCCACACCCTTTTCCTAGGGGAGATAATTATGAATTAGAGAAAAATTAATGGCAACATTTAAAATTCTTCTTCTCAAGAACCACTGGGCCAGGAAAAATGAAACTCATGTGGAATCATCCTCAGGTAGTGTAGATTCAAGTTTGTTCAAATCATGACCCCCGGGACTAGGATGGGGCCAAAATGACCGACCAAAGTTTTACATAGGAATATATAGGAAAAATCTTTAAAAATCTTCTTCTCAAGATGCACTGGGCCAGGAAAGATGAAACTCATGTGGAATCATCCTCAGGTAGTGTAGATTCAAGTTTGTTCAAATCATGACCTCCGGGACTAGGGTGGGGCCAAAATGACCGACCAAAGTTTTACATAGCGATATATAGGTAAACCTTTTAAAATCTTCTTTTCAAGTACTTCAAAGCCATGATTAGTGATATTTATATGGAATCATCCTCAGGTAGTGTAGATTCTAGTTTGTTCAAATCATGACCCACTGGGGGTTTAAAATTCAAGCCCCCCTCCCCCTTTAGTAAACTTTCAGTTCTGATCTGATATGTGCTTTTTCCTAGCCGATGTGCTCAGGTGAGTGCTGTGGCCCCTGGGCCTCTTGTTTAAGTGTGTGGGACTTGTTTTATTCCATACAGCATGAGATAAAAAAAAGCATTTCCTTTTTCAGATGGATGAAAAAATACAAGTCAAAAATCATTCGATTTTACTACTTTGGAGGACAAGAAAGACTACTAGTTGCAGATCCAGAAATTTGCCGCCAAATTTTAGTCACAAACAGTCGCAACTACAAACGATTTGGGATACAGTCATCGTAAGCAGAGAAATACTCTGGTTAAAGAATTGAATCTAAATCAATATATGAATACTTATTAATATGTAAAATTTTCCAAGGTTCACAGGAAATGCCCCTTTGTTTGCTTTTTTAAGAAATATTTCTTTATGGTTTCCAGCATCATTGGAAACCCACGGGTGATCTCGTCTTTACTTATCACTCGTGGGCAAACTCGCCGAAAAATCGTCATATGTAATTAAATATGCATGGATCATTTGATTGGCCGCATCACAGATTCGCGATGCGAAACAACGAAACACAGTTCACGTTACATATGCAAGTTCGGCATTGCCAAAAACATTAAAAACTCTTCCGTAGTTAACACAGCTGATAAATCCACTCACCGGTGCATTTTGCAGTTAAAAAGAGGTACTCCTTCATAATATTTGACGGATATTAATGTCAGTGACCTGTACGAATTGACTTTCATCGTTTTCAATCAAACTTCGCACGTTTTAATGAGCGTCAAAATATTTACCATAAATAGCAAAGTAATAAACGTATTTTTAAAATTGAAGAGTTCCAACTTTCTGATTGGTTGACTAAAAACAACAAATTAGCATATTTTACGGCGATATTTCAGCGAGTTTGCCCACGGGTGATAAGTAAAGACGAGATCACCCGTGGGTTTCCGACGATGGGTTTCCAGAGGGTGATGGGATCTGTCCTTTTATTTACTTGCTTGTTTATCGTTTTCAGACTTAATTTGACTGTAATAGTCCCTTTATTTCGTGTTCTTTTTAAAGGTTTCAGAGGTTGACAGGAACTGCCTCTATAGTTACTTGTTCTTTATTATAGATTTCAGAGGTTGACAGGAACTGCCCCACTATTTGTCCTGTCAGGGGAGCCTCATCACGTGATCAGGAAGATCTCGAATCCAGCCTTCTCCCCAGCTGTTTTGTTTGGTAAGAATAACAACATCCCATTTAACAATCTCTTTGGAAGTTATTCTAAATGTATCATACTCTCCAATCTTATCTTCTCTTTGGTCATCTCATTACTATGATCAGTGAGAAAATAACTTCTGTATTATTACAATGTGTTATTCATATTTTTTGACAGACATGATTCATGTATTTCAAGAGAAAGCACTCAATCTGTGCAAGAAATGGGAATGTTTACAGAATGATTATGCAGATGTTCAGCTACAGTCAAATCTCCAGACAATGGTGAGGGCCGCATATGTTCAGAATGCTAAATCAGATGTACAGGTTGAGGTGTCTTTTTCAGGTCATGTTAGTCACTAAGCTTACTGTTTCTTTTCAAATGTCATCATCCTTCATACATTGCCCATAAGTCCATGACTAGTTATAGATTCTTCTTATATGCTTAATTCCTTGCAGACTGTTGGCTTATTATACTATTGGAGAGTTTCCTGTGATCATGCAATTTGATTTTAAAATAGCCAATTAAATGAATCTTGATTTTGTTACTATCAACCTCAAAGTTTGAGAGAGGTTAATAATCTATAATTTTGCTGTAGTTTGCCTGTCCAGGTCTTTCCTTTTTTCCTTCAATTTAGTGTTTCTTAAAAGCATTGAATATATCTTAAAAGAGATTTATTTCAAAGGTTAGGTTACTTAGTGAATCACACTCTGAGAGTCTTGTTAGTTTACTGCAGATCACTACTTTTTGTGACACCTTATTTTAGTGAGATTTGTATTGAATAAGAGGCAAACAATTTTCACTTTATGCTGTATGCGGTATCTGTTGCTAAGAGTAGAAAAGGAAGAAAATTTTTGTGAGCCAATAGATTGTTTTTCAGATTGAAAAGTTATTTGCAGAAAGACTAAAAAATATTTTTGTTTAGAATTCCTATTATTTAACAGACTTTAGATGTAATTTGTAAGTGTGGTTTTGGCTATGACACTGACTTCCTTAAATCTCCCAGTTCCTCTGAGGATGAAGATGGAATTCGTTCTGTAGTCAGTGGAGTCAGAGATGGGTAAGTGAAATGATCTTAATACATTTAAAAATAATTACCTGATTATTTATCAGAATGTAAATTATTAGTTTCACTGAAAAGAAAAAGAAGTGTGTACACTCAGAGTTGCATCAATATCCTTTTTTTATTAGCTCACCTGCACTGAGAGCTCAGGTGAGCTTTCCTGATCACATTTTGTCCATCATCTGCCTGTCTCTTGTTTGTCATAGCTGTGTGACTTTCCATATGTCTGTAAACTTTTAACATTATTATTTATTATTCTCTTAACCACTTTGCCTATTTCAAACAAACTTGCCACAAAGCATTCTTGGGTAAAGGGGATTGAAATTTGTACAAATGAAGGGCCACACCCTTTTGAAGTGGAAACTATTCAGAAATAGTAATCTTTTAAAAATCTTCTTCTCAAGAAGCACTGAGCCAACTTAATTGAAACTATTTTGCTTAGTGTACAAATCATGATCCAGGGGTTGGATGGGGCCAAAATGGGGGATCAAAGAATATAGAAATTTCACAAAACTTCTCAACAATTTACAGCATAACCATCTTTAGTCATATTGATATGAAAGCACCCTTTTGTAGTGTAAATTCGATTTTCTTCAAATCATGTCCTTGGGTATAGGCTAAGACCATGATTAGGGATCAAAGCTTTTTGGGACAATATCCTAAATGATTTAGCTGATAAACTCGAAAAAAATTAACATTGAGGCCACTCGAATAGTCACAGGTGCAACTAAACAAGTAAGTTTAAATGATCTTTTTTGAGAAGTTGGATGGGATACATTGCACAATCGAAGACAAAAACATAAAATAATCAAATTTCACACCATGGTCCATAGAAGTGCACCTGATTATTTATCTTCTTTAATCCCTTTAAGAATCAATGAAACACACAATTATCCCACAAGACAATCCTATTGCATTACTCAACGGAAGTTTAATACAAACCACTATGCACAATCTTTTCTATCATCCACTACAAAGCTTTGGTAGGAACTTCCGATAAATGTCCAAGAAAATCCCTCAGTATCTAATTTAAAACACGTGCTTAAAACAAACTGTTATAAAACCCAAAAACATTTTCTATATATATTTGGTAAGCGCACAGAATAAATTTTACATACACGACTTGGATTTCATTGTAGTACATTAATTCTCATTTATTTGCAAAACATATGATAGATAATCCTAATTGTGCTTGTGGAAAGATTGAAACAACAACACACTTTTTATTTGAATGTCCTCTATACACTGACTCAAGGAAAAAATTCATTGACCCATGAGGGCCAGTCACTTTAAACATCTCTTATTTGGAGATTCAATCAAGAATTCTACCTTCAATACCAACATTTTAAAACAGGTACATAAATTTATTTCTGCCTCTAAAAGATTTTTTGATGGCATGGATGAATTTGTGACTTTGTAAGTATCATTATAGAAGAATATCTTAAAGCTAACATATGAGCCTTTTAACAGAAGGTAAAATTAGCCTCTGGGTGGAACCAAGTTGATCAAATATACTAAAAATGCGAAATTTATATGTTTGGAAATCTTGATTTCTGAAGGAGAAAAACTTCTTGCGACATTAAAATGACCAGAATCCACTTTTTTATTGTAAATTTCTTATCACATGGGTCCTGATTTGATTGCAGTACGTCCCGGGTGCACTTGAGTGGGTTTGACATAGCAAGACAACAATCAGAGCATATGGTTCTGGTTTTTTTTTTTGATAATTGACAAAATGGTATACTAGTATGTATCTATGTGAGTCTTTTACATACTTAGAAAATCCAAAAAGCTTTCATGAAATGGCTCTTAAAAATAGGGATGATCATTCATATTATGCATGCAGAGATACCTAGGAATTGTGTACTTATATATCTTTAAAATATATAATTTATACCACTATGGGTGTGTTAAATTATTTCCAGACAACTTATTGATTTGCTCTTTAAAAGTGAATGTCAGTTGATAAACTGCCTATGAAAGTTTTAATTTCTGCAGAATACAATCTAAAGATTAAGCTAAATACTATTAACTTTTCTACCAAATTTATTTAATAATTAAAATGTTTTGAAAAAAAATCAATGACAGCAGTAGACTGCTAAAGACTAATAGGAAATGAAAGATTTATTTAATTTATGTGTTAGTCTTTAAACAGAGTTTTTCAGTTGAGGAATTATGTCCTGCTATAATAAGGAAATGACTACATGTATAATATATGCATTATCAAAAGAATGTGTCTTTAAACTGAAGTCCCAAGTCTCATTAATTATTTAACCTCTCATTAAAGTACCCCAAAAGCAATTTATTTTCAGTGATAAATTCAAATAATATTTTCAAGTATTTATATACAGATATAATTCAGAACCACAAGTAACTTGGTTAATGAGTTCCATTGTAACTCTCTAAATGGATGAACTATTATTTTCAGTCTAAGGGTCTAATCCATGATGACTATTTGGGTTGTTTTTAATTTTTTAAAATTAAGATCAATATTTCTGGGAATGAATTGGTTTAGCGAATATAATAGCTTTAATGTTATACTTATGGAATTGAGATTTATAGTATGTGAAAAAATTTTGAAGATTGTAAGTTTTACATGTTTCAGGACAATGCTTTTATCGTGATTTAAAAGTTAAATTTAATTGCATCAGTAAATGTACATGTGAAGATGTGAAGTATTTCTAAAACCACAGAGAATAAATTTTTGAGTACCAGCTCCTTTAGCCCTAATCACAGGTGGGCAAATTTGAAAAGGGGTAAATTCAAAGAAAACAGTATGATTTCTTAAACAGAATTGTGACTATAGTCGAATTTAAAACTGGGCAAAATTGTTCACAAGTGCAAAAGAACGAAAATTACAAGGGCTGAAAAAAATCCTGTATGTACAGTAATTATTTTCTTAGGGAATTGGGATATATTAATTTCATAATTTGTACATGTAATAAGATATGGATTCTTTTTGAAGGTTTTTTGACTTCCTTCCATTTTCTGATTATTTCCCTACAAAAGCCAAGATGAAACTAAAGAAAGATGTCAGATTTACCAAAGCATTGACAGAAAAGATTATTGAAAGCCAGAAGAATGAAAGTATGTTTCACTAGATGACAATATGGTGTATAGACAAAAATAAACGATTATTGCTCATACAAATTTGCAATAATTTGTAAATATTAGTATATACATGTACATGTGTCCATGCATGTATTGTTCATAATAATACATACCCCATTATATAAAAATAATAATTTATTTCTGTGCAGTGATATTGAAAGTTACCATCTATCATCATTTTGGTTTTAAATAAAATTATGGATAAAATTGTAGAAACTTTTCAGAAAATAAGTATTTGTCTTTGAATTTTTGTAAACAGATCAAAAACTTAGAAGTCTCACTTTGATTAAGAGTTGTTAAGAATTAAGCAATACAAAGTTGAGCTTCAGTTGAAGAATGTTTACAGTAAATGAAAAAGAATAATATATTTTTCAAAAAAATTGATTCATTTGGTTGAAGTTTATAATTTTTAAAGATGAACCTTTCTACTTTGCTCAGTGAAATATATGGAGATAACAAACAGTATCCAAGCTCAAAAGTTCATTAAATATCACAAATCAGAAGAGCAGACACAAATCTCAAAATCAGAGGTGGGATCAGGTGCCATAGAGGATTATGCTTCCCCCGCAGAGCAGCCACACACCCTGTGTGCTCAATGTTATCCACTCTGGTCACTTATATATGAATTGTTGTTTTATTAATGCTTATGTTTTTCCAAAGAAAATTATTACAATGTATATGAGAATTCAAGATTCTGAGGTTAAAATATTTGATACTGAGTTTCATCAACTGTATTTATTGCCAGATTATTATACATTTATTGTTTATATCTTAAATTGAAATGACAATTTTTGTGGATTTTGTTTAAGAGTCTGCTAGATATTCTGACGTTTGATGATTTTCTTTAAAGAGTCCACTAGAAGAGATATTTTGACAATGTTGACAACAGCCTGTGACACAGAAGGATCACACCTGTCAAAAAAAGAACTGATTGATCAGGTGTTTGGCTTTCTGCTGGCTGGATTTGATGTAATTTGTAATGTTTTACTATTTGTTTCCTTGATTTGATTTAATTTAAAATGAACTGTATTTTGCATTCATAATTTATACAATAATAATAATTTATAATGAAATAACTTGCACCTATTTTCACTTTAAGTTTTCCGAATATTTTTGCTATAAAACAGAAATTTCAGCTATACATATAAAACGAAATTTTCGTTTATGCAACTCAATCATATTAGAAAATGTAGAGTAGACAATTATTGTTTTTGAATGAAATAATCTGTACTCGTCTAATGGGTTAAAATTCTCAGATGATGAGGATGATTTATATGTAGTTTTAACTCCCCATCCCCATCCCTTCTTAATTTTTTTTGAGTTTTGTAACTCGATCATTTTGAAAGCTTACTTTTTTCAGAAAGCTACATGCTTCATTCTGTACTTTTAGACCACCAGCATTGCCCTCACCTGGACCCTTCTGCAGCTCTCAGAGAGACCTGACCTTCAACAAAAGGTCAGAGGTGAAATGTCATTAGTGTTGGGTGATGATATAAACAGAACAATTACACATGAGGAATTGGATGCACTCAAACTCACCACTGCTGTAATTAAAGAAACACAAAGGTATTAATGCATTACTGGGTCTTAAAACTGACTCATATACATATGAGTATAATGTTTAAAATGTGAGTTAAGTGGATGTTATAAGTTTCTTCTCCTGATTGATTCAGAAAAAAATTGTCTGAAAAAAGAAAGAAACTTGTATTTTCTAAAGATTGCAATGGCAACTACACCAGTCTTATAGCTGTGGTAATCAATTTTTAGAAAGATCATCTGAAATTAAGTTATTACCAAACAATTCGTAAAGAAGATGGGGGAACAAGGCGGGCAGAATGCTTATAGTGTCAGATATCAAGAAATCATATTCAATATGTGAATTGAGTATTGGAGCGAAGACCCACTTATATTGAAAAAATTTGTTAAAGTTTCAGAAAATGATCGTTTTGTTCTTTTTAGTGTGTGTATATGCTTTTTCATAGACAAATATTTCAGTCTTTGTGAGAATTTTGTAAATTTTAGAGATTTTACATTAAGTATACTTTAACATTAGATGAAATATCAAGTAAAATTTGGATATGACTGGGATTAAATTTTTCACTTCATATCTGTTGCACTATAGGCTCTTCATCTGCCTTATCCCCCCATCTTCTTTCATTTTTCAGCCTAATAATCACACATGGGTACAAAACTGTATTTAGTGTTCTTTCCATGCTATCATTAAAAGGGAAATTAGATTTCAATATTGTCAATGCGGATTTTCATTTTTATTGTCATACACCCGCTTCAGTATATAATTGGTAAAGTCTGTTTAGAAAATATTCATGATTATAGAGTTGCATGTTAACATGAGTGATGAATATTGAATGTATTAAATTTGTTCTCAGTAATATAAACTACATGTATATAATTTTATACAAATTATGGAAGACAATTTGCCATTTATTGATGATGGGAATTTTGTTTTGAATGTAAATTAAATGTTTCATCAATTGATAGTAATACTATATATACTTGTCAATAGGAGAACTGGAGTTGGTACTTGGTCTTTATATGCTTTAAAAATATGGCATGTGCTCATAAATATTCAGTATCAATTTGAAACATTTATAACTCTTAGATAGGACTGCAATGTTTGATGAAATACTTAAAGTTTTAGGTTTCTATATGATGTCTTCTTTTAAAAAAAAAATGAATAGCACAAGTCATGAATAAGTAAAAGTTTTGCAGCTGTTGTTCAAACTCATTTCTCAGGGGATTGTATTATTATGGGATTTTCCTAAAATTAACAGATGTGCATGATTAAATTAAGTAAATTGATAAATTAAATATGCACTAAGTACTGCAACAGCCAACAGAGACATTTTTTTAAACATTGGCATCAAGATATAGTGCCATAGAAAGGTCAAAAGGTCATAGGCACAGTGTTTCCCCTGTCATGATGCTCAAATAGAAAAATCTTAAAGGCAATGCAATGTGAAAATAATGATCTAACAATTTGTAAGGATAAAGATCAGACAGCATTCGACCAAACAGTGGATGAATTTGCTGACAAGGACATTGCATCAAATACTGTAGATTCCTAAATATATGCGTGGAATTGATTATCGCGTAATTTCGCGAGAAGCACCAAAGGCGAAATTAAATTACTCGCCTTAAATTTTATGGTGCTAAAATGTATGTTAAAACTCTTGACCAACCGTTCAAACGCAAATTCTTATTCTTGCAATTTGCTGTTGAAGAGGCCATTCACGATAAAAAGTACTCACAAAAAATAAGGAATCTACAGTATAGAATTTGCGAAATGGTGACTTTAATGTACACTGGTCTTTTCCTTGTGTTATTAACTTACATGTATTTATCAAATATTGAGTCAACTTGGAAACATCCATTACATGTGCAGGTGACAATGTTTTTAGAAATGGAGAAGTTGAGGATAGGAAAATTGAAGTCATTCCCTTTATCATAATGTTTTGTTTTTGGCTTGCCATTGATGTCTTTTTCTAGTATAATGAAATATTAAAGTATGAAACAGAAATGTTAGACATTTTGATGTATTTTATTTTGTTTTTAATATACATATTGAATCAAAGAAAGGATGAAAATGAATTGAAGTTATTGATACAGTCCATGTATTACATCATATATATCTCTTTAAGGTTGAATTGAAGTCCATAACAAAAGATCTCTGCTTATCATGTAGAAGATAAAAAAAAATGTTTGCTTCATATGAAAACAAAAATAGGTCTGCTAAAAACGGTTTACAATCAGTACCCATGGGAATTCCAGTACAATAGGAAGATTAACTATATATTATGTCAAAAATCGTGGACTTAAATTTTTTGAGAGAAGTAGTTGTATAAAAGGTTGTATTAACTGCTAACTATGTTACAATGCACTTTGAAAAATAACACACTTAGAAAAAATCGAAGTGTGTTTAATGTGGGACCAAGTAAATACACTTTGAAAAAAATAATGTTAATTTCAGAGTGCATTTAAACAGACCATATTAACGCACTTTGAAAAAAAAGTGCAGAACTTAGTCAATATTCTGCAAAGAACTATATGCGGTATATTGCATATATTTGCCCCCACAAAAGTCAAATTTTGAAAACTTTCTGAAATGTGCTGAATTCAATAAATTGTATGAGAAATATAAATTAACAGAAAATTTTATAGTGTCAATGCAGTGTATTCACAATTTTTGTTTTTATGACGTCACAAACTAGTCCCATTTTATATCCTTTTTCAAAAAGAGGACAAAAATGGACAAAATTTCAACAATTTTAGCTTTAAAATTTATAGAGCGCAAGTTTGTTCAGGATCAATATTGACATATTTCATTGATATTATCATTCTACACATTATATCAAAATATTGATCCTGAACACACATGCGCTCGGTGACTTTTACTCAAATTATCGACGAAATATGTACATTTTTCTGTAAAATTCATAAAAAACTGAAATTTACGTCATGTTTGTGACGTCATTACGTACATATGGTGTCATTACTTATGAAAATATTCAGTGCTTTGAAGTCAGCATATACTCCCCTGTTTAAAACTTAATTAAATATATCTCCATCAAAGTTTGATTTAAGGGGCAAATATTGGTTATTACCGAATAAAGTTTTTTAGATATGATAAAGACATTTGAACTTGGTTGGATAACATTTTGTGATGAATTCACTTCATTATTTGAAATATTAACGTTTTCATATGAGACAGGAGTACGAGAAATGCGACAGAATGGAGTCAAATTACTCATTAAAAATCATTTTCCAACATAAAAAGATGGATGTAAAAAATATTAAAATTATGTTTTTATTTTTGATTTTTATTTGTTTTTGTAAATTCATTTTGTCCAAAATATAGTTAATTGAATTCAGAGTTGAATGTTGGACATAATTCATGACTTTTGATAAACTAGGTTCTCATTTCACACAAAGATTGTGTGTCAAGGTCATTACAAGGTCACTGTATTTACATGCTTAAAAAACCCAGTTGGGGGTATCTTTGGATCGATTTTTTCCAACATATGTAAAAATATTAAAATTATGTTTTTATTTTTGATTTGTATTTGTTTTTGTAAATTTATTTTGTCCAAAATACAGTTAATTGAATTCAAAATGTTTAGTAAGGTTATTACACAGTCCGGACAAAGAGCACAGGATGGGTGTAGCAAGGGATGCTTATTCCTCAGTGGCACCTGATCTCTATTCTTATGGGAGGTTCCTGTATGTTTGACTGGACCTTTAAACTTGGATACTGTTCGTTATCTCCATATTTCATTTAAATCTATTAACTTTCTTTCTACAATTATACTGCTTGCAAAACAATTCAGATATATTACCTATACTTCGATTTGATAAATAATTTATTTTTTCTGGTTCATATTGCTTTGCTATGTTGCACATACTGAAATGAAATTTGGTATACAGATATATCACATAAATATCTAGGTCAAGTTTTGTTTCGGGTATGATCGCGCCATTTTTGACAAAGTTATGCCCCTTGGACTTAGAAAAATTTCAATTATTTGCAGTTTCCGTTCATTTTCTTTGCAACCGTTGCACATACTGGAGATGAAATTTAGTATACAGATTTATCAGATGAATATCTAAGTCAAGTTCTGTTTTGGGTACGATCACACCATTTTTCACAGAGTTATGCTTTTCCGTTCATTTTCTTTGCAAGAATTTCACATACTGATATGAAATTTAATATACATATTAATCATATTAATATCTAGGTCAAGTTCTGTTTTAGCAACACAATTTTTGACAGAGTTATGCAGAATTCCAATTATTACCATTCATTTTCTTCACAACCGTTGCACATTTGAAATTTACAGATTTATCAGATATATCTAGGTCAAATTCTGTTTTGGGTACAATTTTTTGACAGTTTTGCCCCTTGGACTTGGAAAAATTCCAATTTGGGGGGAGGGGGCATAAGTGTTTTACAAACATGTCTTGTTTTCAATAAAGTCAGGAAGAAGGAAATTGATTAAGATTTCTTTTAAATTACTTTATTTAACTTGAAAACCGAAAAATGTCTTGGAATGAAATTAAAGTTGAAAAACATAAAGTAGGCACATTTTAGTTTTTCTTGAGTATTTTTTTGGCAAATTATGGGGGGAAGTTTTGGCGGATATTGCCCAAAGGATTGTTCTATCTATAAAAACCGTTTTCTTTAAATACCCTTAGGTTTTTAGCCAAAATACATACTGTCGCAAGTTTCACTTTACACTTAAGACAAGTATCTAGTTGTCTTAAGAATATGACAGATTTTAATATATATATGACAGTTTTGTGAAACGGCTTTGCAATCTTGATAATTTTCGGTGGAATCAAACAAACGTTTATAAGTTTTCGGATATGAGAGAAAAGTACAGATGTTCAAAATACAAAATATTTTAGTTGCAGTTTTCCTCTTGTAAATTACGGAATCAAGCAGTTTAGCAATAATTTTCTCATTAATTTCGAATTTCAGGTTGTTTCCAGTGCTACCTGTAATATTTCGAACTGCTTTAGCTGACGATAATTTTAAAGGTTACCACATTCCAAAAGGAACAATAGTTGGATTGCACGTTGGTGCTCTCCACAGGTAAGCATTCAATTGTACACACGTGGTATAATTTAGAATTATATTGTTCATATAAAAAAATAGATTCTCTTGTGAAATAAGAGGATTCGTGCTGGTTTGTTAATTAAACTTTCTAAAACATATTTTTTAACTGTCATAAATGACAAAAATGACTTTGTATCTGTCCTTTATATCTTGGCGTGGGTAGTGTCATGGGATTATCAGATAATCAGCTAGTTTTTAAAACTCAATGGGGGAATGGAAATTTGAGTAACTGTGATACATTGATTTTAAGTTTAGTACAGCAACTAATGGATGATATCTGAAAAAGATGTTGTGACATCAGCACAAAATTATTAATTGGTATTATTAATAATCATGATTTTTTTCTTTACTGGCCAGAGACCAGAAAAATATATGCACCAGTAAGGTGTCCATAGTCCATCCATCTGTCTATAAGCTAGTCTGTCTGTAAACTTGAATTTGTCCAGACCCGTTCTCGCAGACTTCTGCATAATTTTGGACACTCATTATTCCGCATATAAGAATGTCACTTTGTATTTCATTATGATTAAATAATTTTTATATATTAATTTTTTTTAATTCCGATTGATATTTTTCATTTGGGTTCATGTAAATTTGAAATATTGAGTCTAAAACTGCCAGCTAGACCATGTGTGCCAAAATGGGAATTGTAATTTAATCCCAGTAATTGAAGCTAAAAAAAATAAATTATATAAATAAAATATATATTGCTGGGGTTATACATTAATTCTGTGTTCAGAAGGTCGTGAGTTCGAATCTCGACTGCAACTGACTTATGTCGATAACAAATGGGTAGTAGCTGTTTCTTCGCCAAGATTACAATTGTCAAAAGGTGTTGGCACGAAAAGGGAATTCAATGACCCTGAGAGCTAAGTCACGGCAGTAAGGATCAAATTTGAAGCCCTTCGTCGGATATGACGTCACTACATGAGTGAAAAATTGTCGAATGGGACTTAAAACAACATACATGTACAATCAATCGAATAAATATTTTTTGAAATTCTTTGAAAACACGATTCCTGCAGTTTTTGTTTGATTTCATTATATAAATTATGTTTATATAACATGAAATATATATTACCGGAAATATATTCAACCGACGTGTCAGCGGAGGTTGACAATGGTTTTCCGAGGGGTGTCAATTTCAACTGTTACCCTGAACAGGCACCATTTATTTTATTATACTGAATGTCTTCTTAAATTAGTCAGCAAAAAAAATCGTCGATCATCTTTACGTTCACGTTTAGAAAGCTTTCAAACTCACTCGGTACATAAAAAGATCTGACCTTTTTATTGTTTGTTTGATACTCTAAGAGTCTTTTATCATATAAAGTTTCGTTATTTCTGCAATGACTCCTGTAAGCATGTAACTGTCGTTTGTTGTTTTCAAGTAAGCTACATCGGACGCAAGCTTTTATTGACGTCAAGTTTATTCCAGTTCTTTCAAACGCGCAATTGACGTTTTGATGACGGTGAACCGTACGCGCATAACAACACACATGTGGCATTACCGTTGTGTTACCCGTTGTCACGTTGCTAAGGCTCAGGGTAATAGAACGGATTGTTAACTGCGCCTAAACCAATCAGATTTTAGTATTTAACATAAAAGTATAATAATACAAATTGGCACACACTAGTGTACAATATAGTCTACAATAAGGTGCATAATTCCATGTTTTTTTTTTGGGGGGGGGGGTTGATTTCCAAGAACGATGTTGCGATGGTTACTAAAAATTGAATTTTCAAAACGCGATACTCCCCCAACAATTTTGATCTGATTTCAATACATTTTACTCTACATTAACAAACATAATTCTTTTAATCGGATTTTGATTTTGATAAATGGTGTTTCCATGGTTACTAAAAATAGAAATTTCTGTAAAATTCTTGGAAGGCTACGCTTTCTATACTTGATTCTGACTGCAGTTAATTGCTCCACAAACAGACTTAAACAAGGATCACTGTTTTATTTTTTGTCTATTTTTGTTTTATTTACAAATCAGTAGATCTACAGTCTCATTAGACACGTCTACATGTAGTTTTGTTGTATATCAGAATATTTTATCATGGCTTCAAAAAGTCAAACTCAAAATTAAAAAAAAATAAATTGACAAATTAAAGAGTTGCTTCTTATTCATAAAATGCATCATATTCATGGACAATGATTATCACAATAAAGAAAAATTCAGTGCTATTAGCATACTTACATTGAGTCATGCAATAGGGCAAAAAAAAAAATCAGACTTCTGATATGATTGATTTTGTAGATTAAATTGGGACAGTCCAGAGGAATTTGACCCAAATCGCTTTATGCAGCAGGAAAATGTTGCTTCTATGACATTTCTTCCCTTTTCATATGGTCCTTACATGTGTATTGGACACAAGTTCTCCATGATGGAAATGAAAACAGTGCTATCGGTTTTGCTTAGACAATACTATTTTGAACCAGTCCCAGGATTTAAATACCGTAAATTACAGTCTGCTGTGTTGAGACCGAACCCTCCTGCGGTTATTCGAGTGAAACCTTGTAATTAAAACTAGCAAATTATGTACAGTAATGCATAACAAGACGCTTTAATTTCCAGATGAATCATTTCGTGAAGTGAAATGTTTGTTTTGTCAATTTGTGAATTTTGTTATATTTACTTTATAGAATGTGTTTTGAAATGAGGATCATATTGCTAGATATTAAATTGCTTGGTTTACAGCCCTGTCTTCAAAATTAAATGATTTGTTTCCTTCAAAATACATGAAAACAGAGTATACATCGCACACTGGTAAATTATGTACAAATCAATAATTATGCTTTTTTAAGACTGTTATTTTTGAAATGTTAATTTTGTAATAAATGGTGAATACAGAGTGCTGAGTACAGTATATATTACACACTGGTAAATTATACATGTACAATAATGCAAAACAATATGCTCGAAGTTGTATATATTTCTTTATTTTTTTTTCAATGTATATAGTTTTTTGTTGAAGACTGATTTTTTTCTTCAATTTTCATTTTTTGTAAATTTGATGATTTTGTAATATTAGCTTTATATTTACTTTGAAAATAGGGGCATATTGCTAAATTTTCAAGTTGATTGATTGACAGCCCTGCCTTTAAATTTAAAATATGTGTTATTAAAAATAAATGGTGAATACTGAGTATATAAACCATTCTCTACAGAATAGATTCAAGTCAAAATCATAATTTTATCAATGTAGAGACTGACAAATCCCACCACTCACCTGAGTCAACTTTGTCTTCATAGGGAAAAGAAAGTCCCTATAAATATATAATTTCCTATAACATTGTATCCAGATTGTTGCCCCATCCTTGCCTCAAGGACAAGGACTTTATTATTGTGGAATCCCAATTTCAATTTCAAAATGAATTATGTCTGTTCTTGTTATTCTAGAGAATGTATTGTACATATATATATATGATTTTAAAATGAGAAATTTGCATCCTCCACAACACTCCAGTTTTGAATAAAAATATTTTTCATACAACCATCCAGTTTTGAATGAAAAAAATATTTTTCAATTGATGTAATATGCAAGAGGATGTTTATGGTCCAAGCACTGTTAAGTTGGTATAATATACCAAGGCATCAACGATGGTTGGAAACGTGGGATAATTTACATAACAGGCCAAGGCCGTAAAATAAAATTGTAAAGTAAATTGTTAAATAAATGTAGATTTTTTAAAAAAAGATTAATAGATTTAAATTACACGAGGCCACCCATGTCAATTTCAATAATCCTCGCCCACTTACATTAAACAAAAGGACAACCGCACGAAATTTACATGCATATTAGGCTTACTAAGCGTCAGACAAAAAGACAGACGCTCGAGATTTACATGCATATTAGGCCTCCTTAGCTCCCGACTTATTGCTTGGCGAAATTTATATTCCGGTAGAATGATCAAGAAAACAACTCACCTAACTTTCAAAGAGATATCACAGAGAAAACAAATAGAAATGGAAATATTCTACGTTCAAACAATGTTAAAAACGAGGAAGGTTATTAACAAACTAGTGAATGAAACAAGTCTATCAACAGTCTCTTTTGAAGTCATCAATTTGCAAGTTCTTTGTTCGATACAATGACCTTGACAGCAAAGACAATTTAAAATCTATCATAAAGTCGTATGCCGACTGAAGATTTTCATACTAACTGTAAGGTCATTATTTATATACTGAATTGTCAACAAGGAGCATACGGCAGATGTGACCGATCGACAGTGAATCGTTACTCATTTATGGCATCCGATCCCATTTCTGATAGTTTTAGAGGTACGTGTTTGTTCTGCTTCCGATTTGTATCCTTTCATGGACTAAAAAAAGCTTGAATACTATTTGATATCTCGATGTTTACTGGAAGAGGCAGTTGTTTATTTGATGAAATGAAAATGTTTGTTATCCAATATTTCTCTTACGAAAGCTGAAATTTGGCCAAGCGTTCCCTTGATGAATATTTTAAAAATGTTTAAAAAGTTAGCGGTTGACGTAATTAATTAATTAATAATTAACAAATGTAGATTATCGTCGTAAACAGCAATCGATAAAGGTGGAAGGTAATTACTATTGATATCGCCCTGATTAACCCCATAACCATGATACCACTATTTTTGTATGAAAGTCGTTATTATTTGCAATGAATAATTTCATGCAATAACTGATTAAAGTTGTGTGAAAAAAAATCAATGATCTTATCGGAATTGAGTAAGAAGTGAAGTGAGTTCGTTTAAGCATAATATTTTTGCAGAATCTTTGAGAAAAAAATACCGTAAATATTAAATATTAAAATTGCGTAGGAAAGATTCATATTTTTTTTCCGATTTATTGGGGAATTGATGATCATAATACACAATGTAACATGAAGTGAAGATTTTGCCAGCTGAACCAAAGACACGATCGAGGTTATTTTTTTAAATTCTAGTGGAGAAAGCAAGGGTTACAAAATCAGTGATCGATCACTAAATTCTCAAAAAACTGTACAAGGCTCGGAATATGGCATAAAGCACTGCACTCTAGAACACTAGAAGGAGTAAACAGCCCATGATGACTGTTCATACTCCCTGTACATGTAAGCCCTTTGTATTTATCACGGAGACCTACTCATCTGTAATTAAATATAATATAAAACTATACATTAACAATAGGTACGAAGGATGTCAATCAGAATAATAGGTTGATGAAATATATGGAGATAACGAAAAATTACTGTATTCAAGCTCAAAAATCCATGAAAACAATAAGATATCAGGATTACAGCAAACAAGGACCTATGAAACCACCGTGTGCTCCTCGTCTTGATCGAGAAATAACGAGAAAATATGTGTGCAGTTCTGTGTGCAAATAATGGACTGACAATAATATGGAAAAAGTCAGACAACATTTTAAACAATACCCTGATAAAGATGGTAGAATTTTCAAATGCAGAATATTGTGATGTTAACGTCCCGTATTGAACGGTCATATTCGCTGTATATATGCTCCTCGTCATGATCGAGAAATAACGAAAACAATTCGGTGTACAATTCTTTGTGCAAAGAATGGATTGACAATAAATATGGAAAACGTCAGGCATAAAAATACCCTTATAAAGACTGTAGAATTTTCAAATGCAGTGAATATTGTAAGAGATTCATGTTAACTGGTATTCAAATAAACCACAATTTTAATAAAACGGATGTAATATGAGCTTAGAACCATTTGAAAATCTTTGTCGGGAACCAGTGAGAAAGAAAATGTGGAATTCATCAACTTTTAGTGAAAAAAACTTCTGTTGAAATAAAGTTGATGACTTCCTTATTTTCTGGCTCATTGGTTCTTAACGATAATTTTCAAAAAGCCAACACCTCATACTACTATATTTAAAGATTTATTTGATATTTCATTAAAAAAAAAAAACATGAATTGGCATGTGCATGTTCTTCAAATTGAATTTCTAATCTGAAACATAAATAGGATTGCAAAATAGTTATCATTATTGCATAAATAATAAAAAAAAAAATCAATTAAGTAAAAAAAAAAAAACAAAAACAAAAAACGATTAAAGTATTTTTTTTTAAGATAACGATGTAGTATGAGATATAAAATAACCAATGTAGGACACAAGGGTCACGGATTGATCAATTTCGATTATTGTTATGAAATAACATGCATACAAATTTAATACAGAAACACAGCTCTTTTATCTACACATGTAGCTATAGATTGAAATTACAATTCATTTTGAAGTGCATGGTCCACATTTTAAAACGATATTTACCTTGTATTCATGGAAGAATGGTTTTTCGTCAATACATGAATAATGTTCTCTGTAATGCGAGATGTTGTATATAGTATTTTTAATGGATTGACTTCTATTATTTGTTTAATCTATTGCTTAAACAAAAAGTAGATGGAAATGTTCAGTATTTCTGCTTTTGTATTATCCGTTTAAAAGGAAAGTAAACAGTCATTAAATCTCGGCATCTGAACATGAGTATCTTAACATTTTTAACTGGTCAATTCACCCTGCTTAGAAAGCATTTTTAGCAAAAACTCCAAGGTCTCATCGAAAGTAGGGTAAAAAGAACATCAGAATGAAAAATAAATGCTGTGACCCTTTTCTGTACTAGTATACAGCGTGCATCAAGTCGTTGGTTAATAGGTTAAGCACTCTTTTACAAGAGAATGTGTTTATAAATGCTGAAAAATGTGTAGAATTCGACTCAAAAAGAAAAAAAAATAGAACCCAAGCCATTGCGTTCTATGATTCCTATTTATACCACCGACTTTCATTTTATATCTACAAAAATATGTGTAATTGTACAATTCAAAATGTGACTAAGATGAAGATGTGCATATGTACCAAAGTCCTCAGTTCTTCAGCATTTCTCCGCGCTGCGGTTATAAAAGTAAATATGTAACAGTAGAATGAAAATTGTTTTTAAAAGAAACAATAAACAAAATAAAACCATTCGTGTAAATTTTAAGTTTTAGAACAAATTGTTCGTATCTATTGTGAAAATGGTTGGTCTTCCTCTGCAATATAACGAACACGATTTTAGTACCAGTCCTTAAAAGTGTCGCGTGATTGAATTCTCGCATAAACAATTGGTTATCTTTTCATTCTTCTCAAAGAAAACTATTACATGGTTCTCTTTATATCCTACACATTATCTAAAAATAATACAATTTAACAATAAATTTTAAAACTTTAAATTGATTTTTTAACGAAAGGTTCACATTAAGTAAACGCATTAAATTTTTCTTTAATGAAAGTTCAATATTTTCGTAAAAAAGGTGGTAATGCAAACGACAAGTGCGAAAAAAGAGATGACGAATGCAAAGATTGTTTAACGAAAAAAGGTGCATGATTTGGAAATAGATAAAAAAAAATCTACGCTGAAACGTATCAATTCATCTCAGGATTGAGGATAATGCCTTAAATATGCATCCATTTTGACTCTTACCTTGACCAAATCGTTTTCGTGCGGTAAAATTTTCGTGGTTTGAGACAAAAAGCCCTATGGGTTCATTTGGATTGGATTTCGTGTTGAAGAAATGTTGAATAGTTATGAAATTTAATATTTGTTGAGAATGAATTCATGTGTCTCTTCATACCTTAAAACAACAAAAATTACCCCCCCCCCCCCCGCGCCGTGAAAATTAGTGATTTCTAAGTACTTCGATTTCAATAAAATTACTTTCAATTCATTAATTTTATACAAGAAAATAGCCCAACTAAGTATACGTTTAACAATGTGCAGATAAACAGAAGAATCTAAAGAAAATACGAAGCGCTGATGCTCTGTATCAACGCACTTTGAAAAAATTAAGCACTTTGAAAAAATTTTTCAAAGTGCGTTAA